CAGTTCTAGAATCTTAAATGGGGGTGGATAGCCGTAAGACTACACAAATAGCCAAGTCTGTCCGTTTATCGAATATGAAGGAACACAGTAAGGTCTCTGCTAAGCTACGCCGTCTTCACACACGAGCCTCTCCATTGGGCGTACTTATTTAGCACAACGAGACATGATCCATCCTTCCGCAGACACAGTGCGACCTCGTAGGGACGCCTCCCCGTTTACAAAGCCGCATATAAGCAGCCTCCCGTTCCACAGGGGCGGGGACTCCCTGTCAAGATATATGACGCCCCCGATCCAGGCGTCCGGGAGAGGCGTCGTCTAGCGAGCAGATGCGCTGACGATGTGCCTTGAAACTGCACGAAACTGCACGAAACTGCACCAGCTGAGACACCGAGGGCAGGGAGGGACCCTCTCTCTCGGCCGGTGGCGCCGTGGAGTCGATGCATGTCGCGCGCTCCTGCTGGAGAGGCAGCCGAATCGAGCGGCGACCGCCCGGGGCGGCGATGTGGCCGCGTCTGGTGCCCTGCGCCGAGACACGCTGTGGCGAGCTGCGTGCGTGTGAATGTCTTTGGGCTGTGCGGTTGTGGTTGAGACAGACATTGGCGGCGGCGGAGACGGGTATCACGAGGCGACGAGCTTGTGGCAGGGAGTCTAGGAGGGTCTGTCTTATATCGGAGAAGGTCGGAGCGGAGGCTCGAGGACGTGTATATGAGCTCAGTATGATGGCCAGTAGAGGCCCCAGAGAGCACATTCGATGTAGAGAAGAGATTGAGTGTTTAACTGAGCGTACAGGAGAGGTGGTAAACTCCCTCGCCGTGACAGTCCCGATTTACTAGGCTGTCTCAACAACTTCGACTTCTCGCACGTCGCATCACTTGACTGAAGAGATATCTCGAACCCCAATCAATGTAAGAAACCCTTAATCTAGATATTTAGGACATCAAGGTGGTCAATGTCTAGGTCTTTAAAGATACTGTTCTTCACTTGAGTGTATATTCGCACCGAAAAGCATCGTCTGTTATCGGTAGAGCCAACTTGGACCGAGAATATGTGCAATCGAGCAGATCTTAGCATCTATTTGCTACGCTTTTGTTGCACGTGCAGGTGAGGCGCCATTTGGCTCGAAGTCGATGCAGTCAAGCAGATCTTCTACGCTCAAGAACAATTGCGCCTGGCAGATGCTATTTGAGATAGGAAGCAGTTGCGGAAGAAAAAAGTCATATGTTGAGGCATTGAGGATGTAACTAGAGGAATGAGGGGGACATGGCGTGCTGGCATGCATAAGTCCATCTCGCGAGAGTATTTAGATGCTTGACTAGCAGATCTATGAAAGTTAGTTGATGCGCGTGAGAATGGCGCCAGGCCCCTTTTTCGAGCGTCTTTCGGTAGTTGATATGTGGAGGCAGCCGAGCAGAGGACAACCGCCTTGATATTATTGAGATGGAAGTCGGAGTGACAGAAGCGCCTCCGATGCGGGTGCTGGGTCTTGGAGATAGGAAGGCTTGACAGCAAGACGCAAGACGGGAGTTGCCGGAGGCTTGGAATCTCAGATGCACTGGAGGACAGAGATCACCACGCTCCCATTAAGCAATCAATTATAAGAACGCGAGCTAGGTATGCTCGAGCTCGGTGCGGTATCACAAAAATGCATCACGGGGCCAGCCCAGGACGAGATCTCTACCTAGTGCCCTGTCGATCTCGCAGCCAGCGCCATTATGATGTGGCTGGCGCCCAAAGGGGGTTAGGGTGCGGCTACTGCCAGAAGACGGGTCCACTGTCACCGTGAACACTACTATTACGACATGTTTCAGGGGGGATAAGTGCGGCAGCCCTCAGTACTCGAGAGAGACGGGGGATGGACGGCTTGTTTTTCGATATTCAGTACTGAATGAATAAGGAAGTGCAGGTGTCTTTAAATGCCCATGATAAGTAGGTACCTCACATTTTGCGACCTCTAGAGTTGCCTGCGATTCTAGACCTTCCCGATATGGTTCTGACGTCACACTGCTGAGCGCAAGGCAGTTGCTCCTGCAGTCGCAGTCGCAGTTGCCATCGGGTCGGAGTGCTAGCACACGCCGAGTACCTGCTTAGTAGGAGAAGGAACAGCCCTGGAGAAGCTCGGACGCGCTTGTCAGTGATGCACTGGAGCCTCCAGCGACCCACAGCATTCCGCCCGTCGCCCACCTGCACACACACCGAGAGAGGGAGAGCGAGCGCGGGGCAATTGCTCCCTGGAGCCCGCGGGCGTTTTAGCCGTTTCCCGTCAATCCCAAGTAAAGGAAGCAGCAACCGTCCAATCGTTTCGAAGGCAAGAGCTACCTTAGATCAAGGCAAGACCAAGTTAGTCAACAGGCACGCCTGGGCAGCGCCTCAACACAATAAGGTGAAACAACAAAACGCTCCAGGGCCGCGCGAAGAAACAAGAAATATGCCGCCAGAACTTTGTCCGCACGAGCCGCAGTAACAAGATCGATTCCGAAGCCTATGGTGCGGTAGCTAATCCTGTCAAATGTGCCGCGGTAGTTCAGCACTCTCTTGCATCGAACTTAGCAGAGGGGCCACGTTCATTAGTGCTATCTGTCTCTTGGATCTCTTGGGACAGCACGATGCCCGAATCGGTCAGCAGTCTTCTATCATCTGTCCTTTTAAATCCTGTTAGTAGATGTCGATTAGCCGGACTTCGGCCGCTAAAACCTGCGCTGCTGGCAGATTTGATTGATGGAGGGAGGACACCCTACCACACCTTCCCGCGCGTTCTTGAAGGGGGTTGTCTGAGAGAGCCGCTCTTGGCGACGTTCGATACTGCTTGGACTCCAGTGGCTCCAACTCTTGAGACCGACACCTCCCGAGTCTCGCAAGTAATATCTGTGTGAAAGGGTGTGGGTGTGGCGTTGAGCTGTCAAGCTGGCTCGCTGGAAGGATCAAGCTTGGTGCGCACATTACGGAGCAGGAGGTCCTCTGGCTAGAGCAACTGCAGTCACTTCACAGGGGGCGCCGCATACACTCCAAACTCCAAACTCGGCTTGCGTGCCGAGAAAGACCAAGCAAGGTTCAAGGATTTAGGAGGAAGCAACTGCACTCAGGAGGAAAACGCCATCGTCTGCCGAAGCGACTTTGCAGCAAGCCACCACTGTGGTGCTTCCCCGTTCGGGACAGACAGTGAAAAGGAGCAAGTGGCTGCGTCATGGGAGAGATGGACGAGGCCAGGAGGTTGCAATAGGGGTTTATCACGTTGCAGTTCAGTCTACCTAGGTAAATACCTCGTTAGGTAGTTGTTGATACAGTCGATGCTGGCTGCATTGCATCGTTATTACATTATTACTTTTCAGACACGCAGCGGTCTTATGGCCTCTATCCATCTTGGAAATGGCGCCGCAGACTATTATTATGAGTTTTGCTGTCGGAGGATGCTAACGAGGTGGGGCGCCCGCTTGACTCGCTGGGAGACGTGAAGAGCGACGGCTGCTATCAATCGCGATACTACCCACCAAGGGACCGCCCAAAATTGCTTTCCCCATCCATCCAGGTCAGCTTCCCAGTTCCGCCTCCACACCCCTGCCTTGACGCCTTGACACAGTACTGGCCCTGGCCTGCCCAGCCCAGTCCCAGTCATTCCCGGATACAGCTCAGACTCTTCTAAACTATTCCCACTACTACACCTCGTCTGTTTTGGGCAAGCCTCCTTGGCCAACTCTTTTTCTCTGCTTGTTCGAAACAATACAATACAACCTTCGGTCTGCGCGCACGCACGCATACGCCTCGCTGCTTATGGACGAGACATACGGATACAACAGCGACAACGGCAGATGCTCGACCAGGGGCATATCCTTCTTGCGACCCTGATTGCTCTGTGGATGGTGGATACGTTGTCGAACCTCTCTGCTTGACCCGAGAATGAACAGCCTTGTCGCACGACCGGCCGCTAATCGACCACTTCTGACAACGTGCCCAACCCCGAAGACACGATAATGCATCCTCCGCTGGGAGGTCTCGGCCTGGTAGACCTTCTTGAGATCGACTCGAGACCGTCCTTTGTCGTCGACCTTGCCGCCTCGACAGACACCCCGCAGGAGTCCCCTTCCGTCGCCTACTGCAACCCCGCCTTCTCGACGTATCCCACCCTTCTCGACATAATACACTCACCAAGGGATAGGCATGCTGATTTTTGGGAGTGGGTAAAGGGGCCGGCGATCGTCAGCATCGCAGCCAGTAACGGAGGCGGCGGAGGCATTGCCAGACCGCGGCCGTCCACCTCCTTCAGCTACCAAAATGTATATTGGACGAGAGTTGCCCTCCACCAAAGGTGGATCGTCATATCCGCCAACGAACAGCCAGCCCCCGAGCGGCCGCGCAAGGTGCGCCTGGACAGCCAGGAAGGCAGATATGGCGTTGGTAGCTCGTCAATAACCGTGACGCCTACCCTAAGTCCCACCCCCACGCCTTCGTTACCTCTTCACGATGCTCGGCGATTCCATTCGACCCCGGATCCGGTGGCAGGAGAGTCTGTGGCCCAGGCGCTTAAGAGGTCGACCACGGATCCTGGCTGGGTCCTGCCGAACCTCATGCCTGAGCAGGAACCGTTTCTCAATGTCATAAATAGCACAAACTGGGCTGCAACTCCCCTTGGTCCAATGCAGCGCTGGCCGAACCAGCTGCAGCAAATGTTTAATCAAATTCTTGCCGACTCAAGACCCATAGCCATATATTGGGGGAAACAGTATACAACTGTATATAACGAGGCGTTTAGTAGGTTATGCGGCTCAAAACACCCCGGCTTACTCGGTCGACCAGTTGAGGAGGCATGGCCAGATGCAGGCGATAAACTTAAGGACGCGATGAAACTAATAGAGGAAAAGAAAAGGGCCAGCTTCGAGGACGAATGGCGCTTTTTTGTTGAGACGGAGGACGGCCCTGAAGAGACATATCTGAAGTGGTCACTAATACCATTTGTCGAAGGAAATCGAACCCTGGGCTTCATGCATCCTGTGCTAGACACTACCTCTATGCGACTTTGGGAGCGCCGGATGAAGATGCTCGTCGACCTAGGCGAGGCCCAGCTCACCGCACGGGACGTCAAGTCGTACTGGGCCAAGACTATTGAGCTATTTGGTAATGTCGAGCCGCGCTATGACATCCCACTCGTCGTTTTATATTCTGTCGATGATGATCCCGATGCAATGTCGGACCCCGGTGGTCTCTACGATTATCCGAAGCTATGTCGGCTTGAGGGAACGCTAGGTGTGCCGGAGGGACACCCGATCGCTCCACCAACCCTTTCGCTACGCAATAGTGACGATGCATTATCACCAATGTTTCGCGGTGCCTTCCAGCTTTCACACCCGCTGTTACTGCAGACTAAAGATGGCAGTCTGCCGGAACAATTGCTTGAAGGTCTCCAATGGCGTGGATTTGGAGACCCATGCCGGGAAGCGGTTGTTTGCGCCATCCGGCCTACGAAGGAGGAAAATGTGATGGGCTTGATGCTGATCGGCCTCAATCCTCGACGTCCTTATGATAACGACTATCGACAGTACATTTCGCTCTTGGCCCAGAAACTAACGTCTTGCCTGGCTTCGACCGTTCTGCTGGAGGAGGAAGCACGCAGGGGCCGGAATGCAGCACAGCAGGCCGAATATGACCAAGCTATGCTGAAGGAGAAACTGGCTCTTCAGACACAGCAAGCTACGGAGTCGAGCCAAAAGTTTGAGGCGGTTGCAGAATTCATACCTGTGGGCATGTCATTCGGTGACCCTCAAGGGAATATTACCTTTGCCAATGATGCCTGGTATCGCATCACCGGCTGCGTACATCACGGCTCTGGACCCGTGGCTCGTAGTGGTTTCCTCGCATGCGTGCTGGAGGAAGACCAGCCAGGTGTCGTTCATGCCTACGAACAGCTCCAGTCGGTCAAGAACGTCACCTTTGAATTCAGAGTAAAGAGACAGCATGACAGTCCCCCACCGCCTACGCGAGACTCCCCCAGTTTCGAAAAGGCAGGCCTTGACTTGGTTGGCGTACACAATAAGAATCTGGAACGCCATGTACTCGCATCCGTCAAGGCTGAACGTGCACCAGACGGCAGCATCCTGCGGGTATTGACCTGCTTGACCGATGTCACTCTTCACAAACAAGCTGCGGAGGAAGCATTGCGACGGGCACAACAGGCAGAAAACTTGAAACGGATGGCCGAATTCGCTACTGTCGGCATGTACGACATGGATGTCGAGGGCCGATTAATTGGGGCAAACAGAGTCTTCTTCGAGATGTGTGGTCTAGAGAGAGCGGATCCGAGCACGATTCCAATAAAACCGTGGGAGAAATGCGTAGTCGAAGAGGATCAGGAAATCATACAAGCGAATCTGTCGAAAGTGGTAAACGAAGGCAAGGCTCAAACCGCCGAAGTGCGCTTTACAACACCCTTTGTCTCCAAAGACAGCGAGGGCAACCCTATCATCGCACCAAGATGGGTTCAAGCCACATTTATGCCCGTCAAGAACTCCGAAGGCGTAATTCAGTCCTTCACTGGATGCCTTAGTGATGTATCCATTCAGAAGTGGCAGATAGAGCGAGAGCGTAAGTGGAAAGAGGAAGCGCTGGAGTCGAAACGGCAGCAGGAGAACTTCATCGACATGACCTCGCACGAGATGCGCAACCCCCTGAGCGCAATCGTGCATTGTTCGGACGCAGTAATCGCCTCTCTGACTAAAGTGCAGGAGCTCATGCCGAAGAATGTAAAAGGCCAGACAACTTATGCCGAGCAGGAGAGGCTGGTCGCTGCAAGCATCGAAAACGGGGAGACTATTGTGGCTTGTGCACAGCATCAAAAACGTATCGTGGACGATATCCTAACCATGTCAAAGCTCGACTCAAAGCTTCTCGCAGTCACGCCGATAACAGTTAACCCAATTCTCATTGTTCAGGAAGCGCTTAAGATGTTCGAAGTCGAAGCTCGTAGGGTAGACATCGATTTGAGCATGAAGGTCGACAAGACGTATACCGACCTTGGAATCGAGTTTATGGATCTGGATCCGTCACGACTCAAGCAGGTTCTCATTAACCTACTTACGAACGCCCTCAAATTTACAATACAAGGGAATTTGCGAAACGTTTCCATTACTATCAGCGCGTCAAGGGAACGGCCGACTGATGCCACGTCATCAGTACAGTTTATACCTCGATCGGAAGGCGAGGAATTCCAGCAACCGATCCATAGTGGGCGAGAGGATCCCATCTTCCTATTGTTCGAGGTGAAGGACACTGGTCAGGGCTTGTCAGAAGACGAGAAGAAAAGTTTATTCCAGCGCTTCAAGCAGGCCACATCTAGGACACATATCAAGTATGGCGGATCGGGACTCGGCCTCTTCATCTCTCGAAGATTGACAGAGATGCAGAATGGTGCCATTGGTGTGGCTTCCCAACCCGGAGTCGGCTCTACGTTCGCATTCTATATTCAGACTCACCCACCAACAGAAGCAGCTTTGCATGAAGCGCAAGCCGCAGCCCATGCGGCATGGGCGGCGCTCCATCCTGCTGCAGTTCACACGCCGGCGAACGCGCTTGGCAGAGTTGGTCGGCGATTCAGCATCAGCTCTGTGAACGGCCATGCCATAAGTCCGGATCAGGGCGAGTCAGAGATCGAGCCGCCACCAATTAACGGTGTGCTGGTTGTCGAAGACAATCTCATCAACCAGCAGATTACCCGACGTGGTTTGATCGATAGAGGATTCACCGTCGATGTTGCCAATCACGGCGTTGAAGCTCTTGACAAACTCAGCGCCTCGAACCGCATGGAAGGAGGCACAACTCCGCTTAGTGTGATCCTCATGGATGTTGAGATGCCGATCCAGGATGGCTTGACCTGCACACGGAACATTCGCGAGCTGGAGCGCCAAGGCAAGATCAAAGGCGGGCGCATTCCCATCATTGCTGTCTCCGCCAACGCGCGGATGGAGCAGATCCTCGAGGCGAAGGCCGCGGGCTGCGACGACGTCCTTGTCAAGCCTTACCGCATGCCGGAGCTGATTGAGAAGATGAAGGTAGTCATGATCACTGTTTCGCAGACGGAGAAAGAGGGGGAAGAAGACGTGGCTATGGAGACACCGACTAAGTCGGCATCGTAGGCTCACTCTCACAAGGCTCTTGGTTCTAGGGCTTATGGATACCAAAGAGGAGGAACATCGGCGTTGATACCCCTGGGTGTCGAACTGACAACAACACCTCAAAGACGGCATATTGGGCGTCCGCGTCCGACTCCGGACCAATTCAACTTTTAATTTCATTGCCATCAAGCATTCTCAGGGACCATCTTGTTTATTTATTTTGTAGGGCGATTCACGGCGGCATATACACGAGCACGGCTGTGGGATTCATATCTCCCTGTCTCCTACGAGGAGTTTGCGGCGGTTTCATTTGACCAACGGGTTTGTGTGTTGATTTTACATGGCGTCTGGCAAGCATGGGAAGTAGTAGCAGACCCACGGGTCTACGCAGATGAGGCATGGCGAGAGTTCCGTGAAGGACAGCATTTTCAGCGTGGCGGGTGGACGGGCATATATATACGTATGTGGCGGAGGCTTCTGAAGTCAAGACACGAACAGTCACACCGACAGACCGAGAGACAGACAGGCAGAAGCTGAACTTGCTTTGCCTGCATGTAGATGAGCAAGAGATTGGTGCATAGAAGCCACAATAGAAAAGAGAAGACCAAAGAACTCTCTAGCCTAGCAACGTGGGTATAGTCCAGGATGCGTAGGTGCAACTAAAGCGAAGGTCAGGCGGCACCATGCCAAGACAGTGGAAATTGGAATGCACGAACACGACTTCGCCGGGACTCTCAAGACTGTCCTCAAGAGGAGTTGTCTCCCTATGCTTGTTGCCCGTCTAAGGCTGAAACTCGAGGAGGTAATGGCTGTCAGCCACCTACCTCCCGTTCCATCTTCAAGTACCTATCACCCAGTCAGCCAGGAACCCCACCATCGACGGACCGCTGCTTGTGGGGGAGTCCTGTCGGTCACGGCGGTCTTCTCCGAAAGCGCCCCCCCGTTTCCGGTGCAGACAGATAGCTGCCCGGGAAGATCAATTGGCTAGTGGCTACATGCAAGGAGAGGAGGGAGTCTCGAGGATTTCAGCTTTAGGGACGTAACATGTTGAGACTATCATAGGGCCGACTGGACTGTAGACAATGAGCAGTGAGATATGACCTAGTTGAGTAATACTTAATGCCTCAAACGGGCATGATAGCTGTCTTTGGCAAAGAAGCCAATGCGGCTTGCAGGTTTGCGACGGCTATCGAAGTCTTTCCAATTCCCTAGCTTGCTTACCTACAACTTGCTAGCTAGAGACGTTAGAGCTCCGCTCTAGCTCCGTTGCAGGTGACTTTATATATTTAAAGCTTCAGACGACCTGCTTCTTTCTTGACTGAAGTTGCAATTCGAACTCGTGTCCATTCAAAGAAGCATTAAATTTGTCGAGATTCAAGAAGTTCAAAGTTTCAATTTGCCGGACATATAAGATACTGCCAAGATGGTTCACAAGCTTATCCACCGAGTTACCATGTTCAAGCTCCCCGGCGAGGAGGCTCAGAAGGGACTGCTGGCCGCCTACGACCAACTGGCCAAGGATCAGAAGAAGGTACGCCCATTGCCTTGCGGATGCCGGCATGCCGCACGTCTTGCAAAGACCGATTTACACCAGCTCTTGCTGTATCATTTTGGCCTCGCAATGCAGTCTTGCTTGTCGAATGAAGCAAATCAATGTAGAGCAGAGCTGACAAACTGCCGTTTCTACCCCTCATCGGAAGAGCTACAAGCTAACAGAGACTCATTACAGGACGGCAAGCCGTACATCCCCTTCATCTGCGCCGGCGTGGCCATGGACGACCCGCGCACCAAGGGCTACACCATTGTCGCCAAGACTGAGTTCTGGTCTCTGGAGGACTTGCAGTACTACGACAAGGAGTGCGAGGCGCATGCGGCCCTGAAGAAGACGGCTGCCACTCTTGGCCTGGCTGAGCCGCCCCTAACCGTGTACTTTGAGGGATCGCCGACTATCAACTTCACGGGCACGGATCCCAATGCGTCCTCTTAGGGAATAACTACGACAACCGAACAGTTGTTGTATGGTATAGGGCTTAAATAGACAGAAATTGACAGGCTATACGCTTCAAATCATTAGGATCAGAGCAACACCAAGTATTGATATCTCCACCGCAGGCGGCCGCCGTATGCGTTTCCAGCTTCCGGGGGCCGATTAAACCAAGTCCAGGATGTCCATCAAGTTGGACTCGACGTCCTTCATTTCTCCAAGCCCTCCGCGAACTTCTTCATTCCCTCTGCCCAGCCCTCGAAGCCCTTGCAGAGCTTCGCGCCCACCACCATCCTGATGACCGGCGAGAAAGGCCCGTAAAAGGTCTCCCAGCACGTGTACTCGGTGCCGCCGTTGCCATCGTCCACGACCTCCTGGATCCGCTCCGACCGCATGAACCACTCCGGGAAGCTCGTCGGCTTCCACGCGAGCCGCCAGCCCTTGCGCTCGCCGGGGAACGGCTCCAGCATGGTGCACTCGATGGGCGTGCGGTTGGTGATCTTGTCCGGGTTGAGCTCGACGTGCACCTCGAACGTCATGAGCGTGCCCTTGGCCACGTAGTCCGCCCCGCGCAGGTGCGCCGGCGGCAGCTTCGCCTCGTCCGTCTCCGGGTGTGCGGGCGGCGCGTCCATCGTCACCTTGGGGATCAGCGGGTTCCAGCTCGGGTAATCGCCCGTCTTGAGCAGCACGCCCAGGCAGGTGTCTGGTGAGGCGGCGATGCGCGTGCTGCATGAGAGCGTAAAGGAGCCATTTCCTCCGAAGCTTGGTGTCGGCGTGGTCGTCGCCGTCGTCAACGTGCCTGGGTGGTTGCGCGGGACCGGCGGCTCGCTGGTTGTGAACGATGCCATTGTGCCTGACTATGTGATTGCTTGTATGCTGGAGCTCAGGACGGATTGACTTCGCGACTAGCTACTGTATTGTTTGATTCAAACATGCGGTGAGGTCAGTGGCTAGCCAGCAACCACATTGCCTTTTAAATACTCCGCCAGATGCTCGTTACCAGCCTGTTGGTAGATTGCATTTCAGAATTGCGTCGCCAGGAAACTTAAGGAGCTGCGCCGCGGCAGGAGGATTACACGAATGCCTTTTATGCGAGATTCGGGATGCGAGGCCTGTAGATCATCGGGAGCTTGATAGACCAGGCTCCACCTTCTTTCCGGGGTGGCTCAAACCATGATGTTTGTCAATGGCGATACTACCGGACTAAAAGAACAATCCACGGTCTCAGTATATTTGATCAGCTTTGCCACACCCCATGGTAGAAGGTAGGATCAATCATAACCATCTTTATGACATGTTCAGTGGTGTTTAACTAACAAGCAAAAAGTTAAAAGCCTCGCAAAAAAGTTGGGGCTCACCCGGGGATCGAACCCGGGACCTCTCGCAAATATGCTAAGGGTTGTTATCCCTAAGCGAGAATCATACCACTAGACCAGCGAGCCCGTAGCGGAAATCCAACTCGTAATTGGACTGGCTGAAAGCAAGGCAGTTTAATTAACACTATGTTGATTGTGCGTAAAATCTTGTGAAAGTCACTAGCAAAAGGTCTTTGAGGAAGCTAAAATTGCAGTGAAAGGACAGGAAATGTGACAGAAAATGTTACAGATCTTTGAAAGTGACTGGCTACAGGCAAGTCACCAACTCGACCAGTCTGAATAACGTTCCTGGAAGAAACCCGAGTGTTCATATTCTCCTTTTCTGCTGATGATAACGCCTAGTCAGTTGGTCACTTCGTAGGTTTGTTTGGTACGAACTGATGAATTCTGACCAATATTGAGCATTTCACTTCCGTTACTTTACTTGACTTGACCCGTCAGGTTCAAGCTTCAATTAAATGATCTTCATAGGAGCTCGATCATCTGATATAAACACACATGGTGTCACAAGAATGTTGTACCAACTGACGTGTTTGTGTTCAAAATAAGGGCAGACTCCCTGACAGCACCAGCGTCCAAAGGATGTGTACACCAGATACATCAGATTTGCTGTGGTCAATCTCTTGGTCAAGCTAGGAAAGAAGTCGAGTCCTAGCCATGGGTGTTCACCACCAAGGTTTATCCACTTCTAAGGGCTGCCGAAGGCCATGATAGTTTGTGCCACGGATCCAAGATTCGCAGAGGCGTGCATCGCGGTCGAGGCTATCCTCCTCTGACTTCTGCTGGTTAGCAGAGCTCGAATATGTCTTCCTGCCGGGTCGAGGTTGCGAGCTCGCAACAGTGGGCAGGCGCTTCCCGTTGATTCGAACGTGGCTTTGTCTATTGCAGAACAAGTCAGAGGAAGTATGCTAGTGATAACGTTCGTGGATAACATACTCGTCCGAAGTAGCCTTGCAGCCGCGATGAGCTTCTTGGGCTTCGGGCTTATGCACCTCCTTCCGCTCACGAGCTTTGACTCGCCAGTTGCGGGTATGTTCCTTAAGATTCTTGATGGTAGCTTGGCGCGCCAGATCGCGAGTTTTGTCCCACACGTTCTTTTCCTGCTCCAGGAGGTAGTCGAGATTGCTGGGTCTCGCCAAGGTTTGGACGATGGTGACCTCAAAGAGGACCTCTCGACCGCTCAATGCGGGCTCATCCTGAACGAGCTTGACTCGTCGGGAAGGTTCACCGGGTGCCTCACTTTCGCTGTCGGAGTCATCCGCCACCAGCAGGGAGTTATCGATGGAATAGGGATCGGGCGTTGGTAATGACCGGTCGACTGCGAAGTCCTGTAATGGGGATGACGGTCAGAAAATAAATCAGGATGCAAGTGTTGCCAGCTTACCCGTCTGTATACGCCATCCAGAGAGCCTCCAACGGTCACGAGGGCACCGCGTGACGTTGAGTGCTTCATCTTCGCTGATCGCTAGGGAACTTTGTGGTCGGATAGAGGGTTTGGAGGGCAGATTTAAAGTCGACGTATTTTTCCTTCCCAGTGACAGTGGCCCAGAGATCAAAGCTTGAAGGTCTGCTCGCCCTGTTAGGTATTGATTTGTTGATCCGAAGATTTTAGGAGATCAGAAATGGAAGTGACGTTGCTCATCGTTGAGTCATGAATAATAAAGACCTGTGGGTATCACACGGTACAGAAAGTACTCATAGCGATAGGACTTGACTCTTCCAAGGGCACTATGGCTCCTGTGATGATGAATTTGCTGAATTCCGGCTCTATTTCTTCATTACGCCCTGCAAAGCTGTGGTATAGAAGAAGTTGTCCATATCGAGCCTGCGCGAAACTTGGTCGAATCAGCTCAGCAACTCTACCACAAATGAAATCGGGGCAGCATTTGATCTTATCTAGAAGCACTCGAGATGAGCACAAGCCTACTCAGTCTAATACCTTTCATAGGGGTTCTCCATCTGCCCAATGAGCTCAGGGAATCTTCCTTGCGCAATTCATCAATCGTTGACTCTATTGAAACTTTTTTGCCATTTGTCTCCCTTCATCGATTCATCCAATGGACTATATGATATGTCACAAGAACCAGTAGCGGTTCTACGGGTCTAGAAGGATGTGGTCAGTTCATGCGCTGGTGTCCTTGTTTGATGAGCTTCCAACGAAAAACCGGTACGTGATCGAGTGCCAACACACTCCTTAGTTCTCTCCGCCTATATAAAAGCAGTCTTGCCCGCCCCATTGGAAAGAAAATTAGAAGAAGGCAAACCTCTTATCGCCTAGACTACTATACAATTTCTCTCTTTTTCGATTGAGCTCTTATTTGTCAACTGTGCTCAGCAAGGCAAGACGTTATGTGTACCTACTCAATCGTAGTCTGCGAACGTTGCTTTTGTCCATCCGAGGGTAAATATGACAACCCATCCAGCGACTCACAAGACGTCAATTGCCCCCGAAAAGCACCTCGAGATCATCGCTACGTTACGGGCACCCTCCACTGGCAGGATCGTCGTCGACCGGCCGATGATTCATGCTTTCGAATCAAGCTCAGGCAAGTTCTTGCTCATCGAATGTGGGAAGAGAACCGGTACTTGGAGGAAGCCATGGGCTGGTATTGGCATCTCACGGAGGACGATACCCTCCTCAGGTTGAATATCAATCTGGTTGACAACTGTACTCATTGCGAGGGGATGAACGCAAATGTCGCGAAGCGAAATAGACTTGACAACATGAGACATGCCTTGTATAACTCTTGGTTACCCCCTATGGTCGAGCCAAATCCAGCAGACAACGGATTCATCAATGCAAAACGGTCTCTCTGCTTTCTGTGGGATAGTCTCCCCGATCTTCAAGGCACGATTGACCGAAATACAGAGGTGTGGAAAAAGTTAATGGCTCAAAAACAAGAAGCGAGCGATGCGACCAGGGTTGATGCAAAGCGGATAGACGAGACCGCGGGACGATGAGGTACCAGCAGTCTTTCTTACCAGCCGGAAGAGAAATTAGAAATGTTCAATTCATCAATGAGGCTTGAACTTAGCAGATTGAAATTGAGAGTTTAGATTATATGCCATAGATTTTATAGATGATAAAAAAGAAAATCACTATCCATCTCTAGCTTTAAATAAACACATCTCTTTTGAATCAAGCCATGTTACTTTCGGTGTCTCAAACAGTTATGCAGCCTTGGGAGAATCTTTACCTCAGTGAATGGCCAGACTTAGTATATTCAAGATGGGAGAGCATAGACTCATCTTAAAGACGCCAATTATTTCCAACTAGCTACTTATCCTGGTATTCGACAGCCAGCTATGTAACTATAACCATAATAATGATTGATGAATCATAGGTGTACACTGAAGTAAAGCGATGAGACTCTTCATCATTTAGTAACAGCTAAGTCAAAATTTCTGCATATTTGTAGCATCTATATAGCCTCTTTAATGAACACGCTGGCACCATCAGCACCGGCATGTTCTCCAATATGCTATTTCGTAGACGAAAAGTCCAAGAATCGGAGCTGACTGCTATTTCTGGTGACTCGAAGTTGGACGGTGTGACTCAGGTTCCGATAATGCTTCTCAGATATGACTGCAATATCTCTGTATATGATTGCCTGGTGTGGCATCCAAGCGGGTGATTCAAGGTTTGTCGATATGGTATAAATTGCACAGCCCAAGGCTGTCTTCAAACACCAATTCTCGTACGTTGACTCTACCGTCAAACTTCAACATGTGCAATTATTGGTTGGATCTCTGTGAGAGATGCTTCTGGTCCAGTGATGGAGGTCCCAGAGATTCAGGGGATGCCTCACAAAATTACTCTTGTAAGCAAAAGGATCCACGGGCGCACGAATACGTAAAAGCTACATTTGTATTGGAAGGATCGCGATCAACCGGCTGATCCACCATGGTTGAAACTGGATCTCGAGAAGGTACCTATTGTCAATTCGGAAGACACATCTAGGCTCGACATGCCCAATACAGCCGACTCGATGTCAAAGGGATCCCTTGTTAACGTGCAGATTTGGCTCAGAAATTCCTGTATGGAGTGCAAGTCCAGGGGCGAAGAGAGCAATGACGAGCAGAAATGGTTGAAAGATTACCGTTGCTTCCTCCTAAGAACAGCTATTGACGACGAACCTAACTTATTGCCATGCAAATACCGATTGGAATATAAGCTCCCGTTCTTGAAAGCGACACGTGCGGCAGTTGCAGCTTTTCGCAGCTATCCCTTATTGCAGGCTATCCGTTGTAGTAAAGAGATCTGGGAGCAGAAACTTAGAAAAACCCAAGAAGTTATTGGCCTGGATCTCTCGGTGTTTGAAGATGAAAGTGTGCACAAAGCCACGCAACTAGTCGAGGATGCCAAGGAGGCATCTTCTGAGACGTAGATTGACTGAGGGATTTGCGGTGTGTTTTGACTACTTTCAGATACGCACAAGCCAATGAGACAAAAAATATAGATACATCAATGCATTTTATGACGGTAAAGTTTCTGTTTGGGATTTAAGTTGGGATTGGTACAAAAGGAGAATGAAACGACTATAGTGTATCCGCCGTTGGAACAAATTTAACAGTTTCTACCAAAAAGCCTATATCTTGGTCATTACCGTTCATTGTCCTTCTTCTAGGATTATCACACCGTATAGATTATTGGCTTCGTGATGACTGCTAGTTCACTGGCGTTGATTACCGATTATACCATTTCGCGTTCGGCCATCTTGAACTCGTCAAACTTGTGTCGACAGCACTGAAGAGTTTTCGTGGCCTTTCAGGGGTTTCCAAATAGATCTCTGTCAGATTTCATCTCTTTCGGCGGCGTTGCTGGCGTCTCCGAGGTGGCTCTATTGATAGTTGTTGTTTATGTGCTCTAGACCAACGGACGTAGATACCTGTTGTTCATTTGAGAGCTCAAAGGTCATGTTGGGACAGCCGACGTGGACAATGATGGAATTTCGAGTCTCGAGGCTGTATGGATTTACATATAAATACCCTTGGTGTTCGACACCCATTGCTGATTTTTCGATTATTATCTGTGTCACCGTTGCTTTGCGGACCTCAAGAAGACTCTTATAGCTACAAGGTAAGAAGTACCCTCCAAATCCTGACTATGAGGAAAGAACCTGAGCATTGACGATTTTTGAGAGGGATCATATATACGCTTAAAGCAAATCTCAACATGTGCAAGTACTGGCTCCAGCTTTGCGAGCGTTGCTTCACTCCCCGTCGCGGCGGCTACAGCAGTCCCAACCGGAATGTCACCGATGGCACCTGCGGCCATAAGAAGCTTTCTGAGCACTACGCCCTCTATCCGACCCTGTACTGGCACGAACGCAAGCGCAACCGGCGTCTCGACGGCGCGTTGTTGCACAATCAAGTTCCAAATGACGTGGAGCTTCATCTACGAATCTGGTTGACCCCTGGTTGCAAGAATTGCCTTGGCAAGAAAGAGGTCTATACGGAGGAGGGGAAGATTGAGACGGTTCAGAATGCTGCGTTGGTAAATGCCGGTACGGACGAGGAGGAGGCTGAGTTGCACGAGGCGGACTTCGCGTATCTGCAGGCCAAGAGAGTCATGTGCATTTTCCTGGAGGAGTATCCCACCATCCAGGGCGCTCTGCCGGGAGAGTTTCGGAAGTGGCAGGCTTGGAAGAAGGCGAACCCCGATCCAGTCTTGGAGCAATTCCATAAATGGATCCTCAAGGAAGACGACGACGATGGCCCGACACCGCGTGCCAAGCCTCAAATCACTGGCCTCCCTGCTGGCACTCTTGACCTTCCTCTTGGAAGCAAAGACAAGGCTACCTTCAATGATCCATTCGCGTACCTGGTGGGAAGTTGGGACGAGGATGCAATTTCCGAGGATGCAAGGTCTTTGTCACTCGAGTACGAGTCCGACTCATCTGTCCCTTCTGAAGCCGTTTATTATGACTCTGAGTCTAATAAGGAGAATTCTAATTAAAGTCACGAGAAGAGGGACGGAAATAGAAGGCAGGAAGTTGCCAACTATTGACGAAGATTCTGGAGGCCTTCGAGTGCGTTTAGTGAGGTAATCTGATTATATAGAAGGTAGAAATTGTTGGGGAAAAAGTCGTCTGATTGCTCTATAACATCCTGAACTTTCTACCCCTGACGACATACATGAAAGACATGGTAAGAGGAAGGACGGACGACCATCGAATCCTCCAACAAGACCTAAGGCCATAACAATATCCTCACCCGAATTTGACTTGTCAAGCATCGTAGTATTTTGAACTTCGTATGTATTCAAATTGTATTTGTCGAGAGACAAAGGTATCATAAAACATTGGCCCTCCATCATGCACCGGATACCAACCGTACCGTATCCTTGAAAGCCAATGGCACGCTAATTAAACCCCATTCTTTCTTTTTTACAATGGAACCGAAAGAAGTCTCCGCTGAAAATGCTAGTTCCCTATATAACGCCCTGAACCCCGAATTCTCCTTGCTGAATGACTTTCCCAAGGTTATGGCCATGTGCTTGGGCCAAATGTCTCGCCTGGTGGCAGTATTGACTGAACTGCAGCACCTGCATAATCAAGCGTCGATAGCGGATCCATGTTGCCGAACCATTGTGGAGGCGTTGCTTGAGAGAGGTATAGGGCGAAGAAAACCACAATGGTCGACAAGATGAGGCCTGTGTCAAGTGCCGCAGATGTGACATAGTTGTATTGTAACCACCAACCAGTCCACCGCCGCTTGATAAACCAGCTGAATACTGTGCCGACAACGCCCCAGCAACTATGATTTATTAGTATGATTAACTCGGATCAAGCACTAGGAAACTCACAGGTATATATACACGGTGGCAGGAGGTATCCAACCTGAGCCGCCAAACACTAGCGGCAAGTTGACATACCGCCATAGAGACTTGGGATGTCGACGGGCAAAGAACCATGTAATGACTGGAGTAACGGCACCAACAAGCCAGAACCACTGGAGATTGGAATACAAAGCACTGCCGCTGAACATGCGCGCTGGGCCGATAGCACCCCAAACCACGGAAGCGGTGTAGAAGACCTTTGCGTTAGCGCAAGTGTAGGAGTTTGCCTGATAGTCAGCGCAGACATCCGGGATGGCTCCCAGTGCCCAGTTCATGACGGCAATCTGAACGATAGCCGACCAGATTGATGCGACCAACTGCGCAAAGAACATAGTTCTTGGTGGCACCTTCATGTAATGCCCTAACTTCAAATCCTGTGCGAAGTATAACGCTTGCGACATGCAGAGATAGCCGTAGTTCTTGAACATCATCATCGCCAACGGACGCCCAGGCAGCATATATCCAACGATAAACTCGGTCAGCACGTTGATTCCCAGCTGAAAGTTGGTAATGGCTTGGACGATACCAATCGGAATGGTCCATACGATAGGGAGGAGCATGCAGATGATGTACGCCCACCATGGGAATCCCGTCGGCCAACCACACACAACGCCAAAGGAGATGCCGATCATCACCGCGAAAAGCACTGCGTACCACCAATCCTCAGCATCCCGGTATTTCTTCATCATACGCATGTGGACATCGTCCTCTTGGTGGCGCGCCAGCTTGAATTGGGTCCAAATCTCCCGCCCGTGATAAAGCAACACATGGACGATTACGGCGGCGACTGCTGCAAATGCGAGTCCGTACGCAAGGGCGAACTGCGTTGATAGGTAAAGAGGTGAATAAGCCTTGTACTTTGCCTCATCAAATTGAAATTGATCGTTGAGCACGGCGCTGACGTTGTACTTGTGGCCTGTATTGTCAAATGCATGCGAGCTCTGAACGGGCAGATATGCGGCGTACCAGTGACCTGAGAAATGCAGGCCCATGGATATGACAATAAAAAAGATGAAGACACCGCCAATGATATTCGCAATTGCGTGAAACGGTGGGATCAGAGGCGAGCCAATATAGCCGGTTATGATGGTCCAATCGAAGGTGATGGGCAGCAAGCCGTATCCGCTAGCACCTCCAAAGATCTGATTGACGATGACATTGTCGGGAGCAACCCAGCAGACCCAAGTGAAGACAGAAAGGCCCTGAAATATCCAGCCGGGGAACCAATACCACACAAAAGCACCAGAAAAGACGATCAAAAACCACTTGTATCGTCCAATACGCCACCCATTAGTCTTGGAAGGATCGGCTTTCGAGTGATCGTGCAGTGTGTAGAACAAGGCCGCGTTGACCAGATCTGAAGGCCAGATCATGGCAGCAGGCCAGACGAGGAAGCGTCGAGATAACCCAGCCAGCCCATAGCCCGTACACAAAGTCGTGATTCCGAAGAGCATCTGCCATGCCCATCCAAATGACTGCCCATACCAGACCTCCTGGGCGATGATAACGTCGGTCGCATACAGAGCACCACCACCATAAGCGGCGTTCGACATAACTACGATGATCACATGCTCCTTGAAGTTGAAGGGGCCTGGTCTGAAATTAAATTTCAATCCGAACAGATTGAATGTCCTGTCAGGAAAGATTAGGTCCCAGCCCAAACCTATGGGATAGGCGATAAGCTGGATAAGGTAGGTCGTGATAGTGATACTAGGGTTCCTTAGCGAGAACAGCATGTTGACGCCGGAACCGATCGTGCACAGAAGCATGCCGATGACCCAGGCGCGGATGGTGTTGGCGGGCAAATCGACATCGTAATTTCGTACTGATGCGCGGACCTGGCTGCGCGTGAGCATTCCCTTTGCGTCTATTCAAAGTTAGGGATCTGCCAACCCACCTCTGGATAAGGGGAATTTTCCTCCACCAGAACCTGCTCGATTTCAATTCCCTTCTCGATGTTCCCGGCGCTGAGAGCGATATCAACCTGATCTAGTTCGTCGATGGGCAAATTGGGGTCAAGGTGGTGCATTCTCTCGAACTGCCTTAGCGAGTTGAGGACTTCCGCCGTCATCGCCTCGTGGTCCAGCGAACTGCTGGGCGAGGAGATGTCGGGGGTGATGTCCTCCATCTCATGGCGTTTCCGGAAACCCAGCACCATCTTGAAGTGTGGTCTTCCTGAGTCCTACCCTCACATGAGATGGGGAAAGTGGACAGCAGAAGTGGGAAGATGATTTGCCAAGGAGGACAGAGGGGCAGAGGGGAGTCAAAAATGGAACACGGAATGCGAGACCGGGGAGTGTTAATATATATTGGACATGGCCCTGCTCATTGCGTTCCCGCCGATCGTAGGTTAACCCTTGTATGGGAGCAAAGTGAAGAGACCGGGGCGGGAAAGACGACGATGAGAGAGCAAGGAGGAAAGAGAGGGTAAGTAAATGAGTGAGTGAGGGGTCCGTCACAGGAGTGGTGTCCGGCGGTGGTGGCCTCTGGTGGCCTGTGGTGTCCTGGACTGCAGGTCACCGTTGCACTGACGGGGGCAGGACGCGTGCTTTTCTTGGGATTGACCAGATTACTACTATCGCGGAAGATGCAGCCCCAGATACTGTCGACCTGCCTAAATTGGTTATCACCCAAGGAAAGGTCTGGGCAAGCATGGATGGGCTGCCCTCGGTGCGATGCAGGGGAATCCGCTGGCGAATTAGCGGAGTGCTCCTCGTGGCTTGAAGTGGGACAAGCCGGCACCATCGAGTAAGACATCCAATGCTACTACAGAACGCTCGCCTGTCTCCCCCCACAGAGCGGTTGCTCAAAGCACCCGGCGACGACGGGAGCATTACCGACTTCGTGATGCCTCTTTATCTGAACACACAGTCGCCGGGGCCTTGTCTTGTCTCGCTTGGCAACCCATTTCTTAGCATTCGATAAGGACCTAGCAAGCCTCCTGGATCGTACGTCAACAGGGAGCCAGTCGCACAAGGTGCAACTTGGTATCTCCCCGCCTCTTCCGGGTGCTGTCTGTTCGCTTATTGATTAGCCTCTTTGGTCCAGCTTGTCCGCCGGGCCCTGTACGAGGCTGCGCTCGCTGTAATATCGTTCTCTGGTATGGCAGCCTCTGCGCATGGTTCTTGGATTCCCCAACCACACGAGCAATATTGAATGCACTGGACCCAAACTGGGCGAACAGATGTAGCATTTGAAGCACAGGTGTCCCTCTGCGCCGTGTGCCCTTCCTTGCCACAGCAATACGCTAATGGAGTAATGCCGCATTGTAGGGTGGTTGACCAATGACAGATGCACGACTTCTTATTAGCCGTGCAAGCGAGCCACGATCTCGAGGGCTTGCCTTATCTCCCGTGCCGTGTCAAATGCTCCAGCTCCTACATTTCGTCGTAGGAGGGAGTATCCTTCAAAAGTCTTGGGTCCAACAACCCGAGGACAACCGTGCACTCTTGAAAACGCCACAATGATGTCCCACAGGTCTCTCTGGCCTTTGTAGTCCTCTGATATCGATTTCGTATGATCTGATCTTGTTGTTTAGCTTATCAGATATAGTACTGTAGGTCGAGGGCCAGTGTGAGGCCCTTCCAGGGGCCAAGATAAGATATTGGACCTAGTGGGCACGATGGCTTCGGGTGGCGTGCTCTGACCACTAAAAGACGTTAGGCCTTCGGTGACAGTCCCTCACAGTGAATGGCGTCTATGTATTTAGTTCCACGTGCATACTTACAAGGTTTCAGCCCCTGCGAAGAGTTGGAATCGAGAAATGACGCGAAATCACGGAGCCGATAACAACATCGCTGGAGCTCCTTAGCTCATATGCTCAAAGTGACAATCCGCAAGTCACCCACAACTGCATCGCCAGATGCTGACCGAACCTAATGTAGGTGATGTGATTATTCGGTACCCTGTCTTCCCTCGCATGCTACTACAATTCCGTTAGCATACAAATCAGGCTGGATGTTCAGCACTTGAATACTTGGTGCGAGAGCAGAACTCGGCTCGGCACCGGCACCCGCGCTCAATATCGGATACCATTGCTATAAGTATCAGCTCGCCTTCTGGCTACGGGAGCATGGCTTGCCTGTCTAACGAATCAAATTTCTCTTGTACTCCATCCAACATGTCCCATTGAGTGAAGAGCCGTACATCTAATTGTCGGCTCTCCGTTGGGGACAGCACGGGGCCGAGATTCTGCATCCGGAAAGATCGGTATGAGGACGCCGTAGCATAGCTTGCTAGATCGGACTGAGGCTGCCGATACCGTTGCAGCATGATTGATGTGGTCCAGGGTCTACGCTGTAGCTCCTCTTCCAGTAAATCCCTTGCTGCAGCCAATATTCAAACGATGGCCGACAAGAGAGTGGTGAAAGTGCCTTTGTTGTCGGTTGAGCCAGAGATCGTAAGGTGAAAGCAGCGATTACTCTCATGTAGACACACGCTGCGATGACCTTCGTATCTCGTTGAACAGAGAGTCAAGTAATTATATGTCTGGTATGGCTGTAATTTTGCACTTGCCAGTCCGTGCCTTGCAGGACTGTCCTGCGAGGGGGTGATTTTGATAAGACGCTCTTGCCATGGCTAGTTTCCTGGCCCTAGCCTGGTCTCTCACATATTATTCGTACCTTCCTCGTTCGATATCACTTTGTCTGAGTATCTAAAAGCTTTTGATATGCAATACCCCTAGAAAGGATCTATTGCCCAAAAAATACAGATACCGATGACTTCGGCGAGTCTTCGGAACCGAGAAGGAGTGCCTTCCGTGCCTGACGACGGGACAACATGGAGGTAGTGCTGGCTGGCGGGAAAGCCAGAGTAACGAGGAATCGGTATAGCACATCTTCTTCGCCTCATCTTCAATCATTAGAAGCATATCAGGCCCACGGTGGCTGCGGCTGTGTTGAACTTCTCTATGTCGAGACCGTCATCCGTCGTCGGCTAATTCAATGAGGCGCTCATACATGTATACATTCCCTCCTCAAGCCTTACCGTCGTCTTGGAGTCTTGGCCGCCCCCAAACCCCTTTCATGCCTGTGTGTTTCTCTCCTGTGACCCGGATTGATCACGGAGCGGAATGCAGTGGCCAAAATAGCAACGCCGATATTAAATGATGCATGCGACGGCCCCCGGCTATATGGATATATTGACCCCTATCCCGCACGACAACATAACAGGCTGCCCGATCCCGTGTCACGAGATATGCGATGCGACCTTCGTCGATGATCTAGCAGCTCATTCGAATGTGCTTTCGGGATTGTATAAGAAGGCGACGCCACCATCCAAAGGAAGACATCCTCCTTTCCAGGTGGATGGGTCTAGAGTTGTTGGCAATCCAACCGTCTGATCACGATGCTCCCACGTCAGATTGATGCGTGAGAAGAAGCTTCCCATTAGTATGAACATCATCAATGCCCTCATTACAGTCATACTTGAACCCAGCGACAACTACGCATGCATATCGGCTCGCCAGTTAGTAGGATAACGTGAATAACGAGTATAACGAGCCTCCTCTTCACTACTACAAGGCGACTCTGTCGATCATTACTGTCTAGGTGATAGTCCTTTCCGTCTACAAGTTTACCTTACAGTTAAAGGCAAATCATGACCGGTGTCAGTTTCTGTTTGTTTTTTAACTACTAGATCTTGAGTAAGGCTTTGGGGCATGATTTTCATGTAGTAAGGGGACGTATTATGTTACGGACTAGATGCCCCGGATAGATGGCACTAATGGGATTATTCTTGCCACGGGTGTTGAGCTCAGTGACCCTGGGAAATAAACCTAGAGAAGCATCTGCTCGGTTTATTTCAATGCTATGCACACCCAGGTATTTAGGAAGATGAGATGCATGGTACAACTTTGAGAAGGCGTAAGATCTCTTGGGATTATAAGACTCTGCGCTTCCAGGCTGTACTTCTGAGTCCTGGAGGTCCGGTCAGGTCCTCTTCAGCTCTCAAGGCATCTTGCTTGCGCCTGAATACTCATCTTGGACCATAAACTGATTAGTCGAGTAAAAGCCATCTGTCGACATGAAACTTTTCTCCTGGACAACAGATGCTCGACCTCATGTAGGCTCTTATCAGATATTCCGGCGGTTTTCATCCTTGCCTCCCGGCTCTTTCATTCTCCACCTCCGGAGGTATAGGTCCAGGGTTGACCATAGGACCATGACCATGCTCTCCCAGGAGTTGAGGCCGTATGACGGGTCCCATTGTCTCTAGAATGTCAGACCCCTCCGGAAGTTGGGCAACCTACGTCTTCTCGTCATGCACCTTTTGCCCCATGACACCATCTCGGTTCGCTCGCCAAACACCCTCTTCTCCATGGAACATCTCCTGCTTCCAAATCTCGACCTTTGCTTTGACCTCTTCCAGGGCCTCTTCTCCCGCGCTCCATGCTGCTTTGCGGTGCGGAGAGGAGACAGCGATGAGGATGCTCTCCTCGCCAATGGGGACAATGCCAAGCCTATGAATCATCGCGACCCCTTTCAAGGAGTGTTTGGAATAGATGTCTTGAGCGATCTTCATCATGGTCCGGAGTGCCATGGGCTTGTAGGCTGAGTACTGGAGCTCCTTGACAGGTTTGCCACCGAAGTTGTCTCTGGTTGTCCCTATATGACAGTAGAAGTTCAGAAACCAAGACTAGATAAGGTTGATGGCAGTTTTCTTACCAGAAAAGAGCACAATAGCTCCGGCTTGTGGGCTCCGTACCAAGTTCATGATGGCTAATGGCTGTAACACATCATCGGTAAGAGCTACGAAGCAGCCATCTTCTCGAAGTTCTGTAAGTTGCTCGGCCATGTCGACCTCTATCGAGTCATATATTGTTTCATATATGAACTACCCAGCTTTGTGAGGTTGTTTTGGTCAAATGAGCAGCCTTATACTGGGCTTGAAAGAGATCAAGTCGCCCCTAGCCTTGAAAGGAGGGCCTGATTGTCTTGGTGTTGCACACAAGCCGCAATGTTGGTGCAGCGGCTTGACGAATCTCTTGAGGCACCACCTGCCAAAGTCTCAGAGGTGGGTGTTTGTGCAAGATTGATCAGGCCGGACTGCCCTATATTTGTGTCTCTTTATTCAAAATCTCTGATTCTTAATCTTTCGAGTCTGCTATCATCTTCATCCACGATACAATTATTACTCATACAAGTCTTTCTCAAGATAAGAAAAACGATATATGCATGGTGCTGTAATTCAAAAGACGCAGCGGAGGTCAATGACCCACAACTAGCCAAGCATAGCGTCGTATTGGCCCTTAGATCAGCACGCTAAGGCCTAAGCGAACCCTGCAAGTCCTGTAAGCCTCCCCAGCATTCCTTCTCCATCCTCCGACGACAAAGCTCGAGCTGTCCCACTTTAGAGAGCTCGTCTTTGGCATCGATTTCTATTCGAGGCATTCCTCCTCAATGCTTTGCGCTTGTCGGCGCTGTCGACTACCACCCTAGGGGCCTTCTCCTTCTCAAGAAGCTTCTGCATTGAACCAGCAGACTGCCCGTCATGTACGACGAGTATCAGTCGCGATCCCGCGACGACGGGAGCTACCGGCGTAGCGACTCCCGTCGGCGGGACCGTGACGATGACGATTTCTACCGTTCGCGGAAGGGTAAACCCGAAACACCTGGAGGATCACTCGATCTCGCTGCTGTGTGTTGATAGCATGGGCTAACTGTGTCTCTTTGCTCAATGAAAAGACCACTCAAGATCGCCGCCTCGGCGTCGCTCGCCCTCGCCAGCCGACTGGAACCAGCAGGGCAATGGCCGGCCGTACGCCTCCGAGAGATCATCATCCCGCACAAATGGACGGCCTCCAGGCTCCGCCACCCGAGCAGCCGATATTTATGAGAATGATCGCATGGATCGATATGATGCGGATACGCCTGTTCGTCGGTCTCGTCCGGATACACATAGATCCGACAGTCGTTTTCCGGAGGAAGATAGCTATCAGGGTCATGATTCTGTGGGCCGTAACAACTGGAGAAACGTATCCCGCGGTCAACAGGGTTCTGATCGTTTCCGGTACGAAGGCAGCGATCATTCTGGCGAGGATGTATTGCGAGGTGTTGCGTCTGGCGCTCGACCATCCAGATTTCCACCTGCCGACTCGGAGACTGATGCTCCTGTGGAACGATATGATGCGCCTAGTCGACACAGTTACGGCCATGCTAGCGATCCTCGGGATTTTTCGGTTTCTCATGACGCTGTGGATATGTATGATGAATACGCACATCGATCTACAAATGAGCGACCTTCTGTACGGCCCTCTTCGACAATGATACTTGAAGGGCTTCCATCCGATGTCACTGAAGATGACGTGAGTTACTTGTTTCTGTGCTTCAAGATTGAAGATTGGGCGTATGGTGCACTCTAATGTGACACTGTTGAACATGCCTCTCTGTACTACTGTCCCAGAGCTTGCATTGACAGATTTCTACAGATCATGGATGGGCTTTCGTCAGTCCGCACCGAGCCCCCTTTCCGCCCAGACAGCGTCAGAGTGATCCGTCTTCGTAGCAATAAGAGAGGTGAGCTGTCCTGCAAACATGCCATTGTCAAGTGATCTTTACTGAGCCGCCGAAAGGTCGCCGCATTGCCTTCGTCGAATTTTTTCAGGTCTCGGATGCTGCAGCTTTCCTCGAATATCATTATCCGTCGATTCGATTCCAACTTGCACATTCGAGAGGCATGGAATCGGAGCTGGTGAATGTCGGTATCAACTATAGCAAGGATCGAGAAGATGATAGATATGAGCGGGAAAGAGAAAGAGATAATAGTGACTGGGGATGCCCGGAGGTGAGTTAGGGTGTCCGTGTTTAAGATGATATATGGCAGTAGAGTAGCATGTGCGCCCATCTACAAGGTGCTGCTGCTACTTCAGTGCAAGGGCTAACGGTAGCTGCCCACAGTGCTCTGCCAGCAATTATGGCTCCAGATATAGATGCTACAAATGCGGCTGTGACAGACCAGGTATGGATATCACCCCCTCCCTGCAAACTTCAAGGCATCTGCTGCACCTCAACAACAAGAGGACTTCCTTTCTTTTGCCGCTCTCGGGAGAAGTCATCATCGTTTAATCCAACATGTCCGCTCATGAGCTGACACATATAGATGGAGGACGTCGCGCTCGCGATGACGGCTACTCGTCGGTTACAGCTGGCTCTCTCCGCCTTACTGGCGAGACTGACGAATGTCCACAAAACTCACCGTCCCAGATCATCCTCATTCGGGAGCTCGAGCCATCAGTGAATGAGGAGATACTGGCAAAGGGTATCTCAAAGCTGTTCATCGAGGAGAAGAGCAATAATCCATCTCCCAAAAAAGATACACCAAATAAGCTCAAGTCGACGGCCCCGACGGCAAATACAGCAAACCTTGGCGCCCGGCCGGGTTCTCTTCGCCGGGTGTACCTCATGCGAGACCGCAAGACTAATGAGCCCATGCGATACGGCTTCGGCGAGTTTGCGACGCTCGAAGACGCCCAAGCAGCTGTTGCCAAATATCGCTTGTCGTCCAAATTTACTATCTCCTCGAAGCCTGTGCACGTAGCCTTCATCCATACTGGTGTTTTTGTACCAGCCAGAGCGTCAGCCAAGTCAGACTCGAACCGATCTGTTTTCAGTCCGACATATAATCCGGAAATCTTCCTCAAATACTGGGACGACCGTGTCTACCCCAGCATCCTCACCGTCTCTACTGAGCCACTCGATACTGAGAAACCTCCTACTCCAGAGAACACTACCGCCGATGCGGATGATGGCTCCATCAGGAAGACGAAGAAAGCAAAGGCAGCCTCGACAACAAAAGTCGCGCTTGCAATGAACCCTCAGATGCAAATGTGGGCCAAGAAGCGGGCCGAGCTTGTTGGAGAGTCTCGCAATGGCAGGGCCGAGGCTGGCGATATCATGGCCGATGTACCAAGCATCATCGAGCCATCTCGCTCAAAGAAAGTCAAGGACCGCCCGACTGCTTCCTACGTGTCTTACGCAGATACAGACGCCTTGACATGCATGCTGTGCATGAGAACGTTCAAATCTGAAGTCGAGCTGAGAGATCATGAGGTCCTCAATGAAGATCACGTGGCAAATGCTACAGTTGATGAGAAATGCAGTACAGCTATCCAGCGACTTGAGTCTACCGGCAAGACAACAGAGGAAATCATCAGGCGCAAACCTCGAGACTCGTCTACACCCGCGCCGATATACACATCATATGCTGACAAGGAGAGCCTCAACTGTCTAATATGTCAGCGAAAGTTCCCAAATGCATCTATCTTGTCTCTGCATGAGCGAGAGAGCGAGATGCACCGCAAGAACATGCTCAAGCATTCAAATATCGACCGTGCCGTGTCTCAGCTGGCGAGCATGGGCCAGAAACCCATCAAGATGGTCCCGACGAAGACGGGCGGCGATCAAGGCAAGCAGTACCGTGATCGTGCTAAAGAACGCCGCCAAGCATACAGTCAGCCCAAGAAGCCCACCGCAGCAAGAAGCGAGTCCCGTAAGGAGGTGCCCAAAGTTGCGGAGGTTCAGGAAGCTCCCAAACCGGCGGCTCCCTCGAAGGGTGCAGCACTGCTTGGCAAGATGGGCTGGACCGCGGGAGAGGGTCTTGGTGCGACCGGTGCGGGACGTACTGAGGCTATTTCGACGGACGTCTACGCCCCGGGAGTTGGTTTGGGTGCCGAGGGAGGCAAGCTGGGCGATGCGGCTGCTGAAGCCGCGCGCAAGACCGAGAACAAGTATTCGGACTTCGTCCAGCAGACAAAGGACAAGGCACGCGAGCGTTACGAGAGGCTTGGTTGAGAGCGTGAAGGAAAGATGTCATAGTGATAAATGAAAGGTTTGGTAAATGGCGTAATGGCATACCCGTGACAATATTTGTACTATAGGCAATAGGGTAGGAAACACTAGCAACCGTCCTATTGGCATATCGATATAGTATCGCGCATACAGTAGATACTGGTCATCAACGGACACTGGTGGCGATAACATAATCTCAAGACCTTCCCGTGCCATAGCGAGTCTAGTACAGCGATGTCTCTTAGGAGTATAACCGTTTACGAGCACATATCACTATTATGAGATATTTCTCTTGCAATGCGAAGTCTCCGTTCTTCAATTCAACTAGCAGCTAGTCTCATATGAAGCCACAATGAAGCAGGACCGAAGACCAAAACCAGACCATCCTCCCTAACGAACTGAAGAGGCTAAACAAAGCCGCCGAAGCAGCCAAAGCCAAAGAACCACCTCTCAAACTGAACGGCCCAGCAACCTCCCAAGCACAATCGTACCAAGAGCCGAGACAGAAAATAGCGGTGCCATTAGCTAGTATCGAACAATAGTAGTTATCCAGGTAGCCTTGTCGATATCCAAGCCATGAGCAAGCATGAAGTGGAAGAACTCAGGGGGAAGGCTACTCAGAAATTAGTCTCTAGCCTCCAGAAAACCATACCAAAGTGAAGAAGCAACTCACATCGAACGATGCAGCATCAGAGCTCGAGCTCTGTCGCCCTTACGGCCGTTGAGAGAGGCATCGGCAGAAGCAGCAGCCAGATCGTTAGCCAGAATTCTGTAGGCTATGGCGGCACGAGCAGCTTCACGGTGGTTTTGGCGAGGGCCGCTGTACAGAGAATAGCCTCCCTGATTAGCTCGAGCAAGCTTGCGGAGGCGTGTATCCGCACGGTTCAATGTTCTGATCCAATAGTGATCATTGACTCCGGGAGGAGCCTTGTAGAAGTTACCACCAGTGCGAGGGATGCTGATAACATGATGGTCCTGAGGATCAGTGAGACGATCGCTCAGGAGGCCTGGAGCCGCAGCAGCCTGGTTGGAAGCAGACATGATGATGTATGATGATTGTCTGATTCTTGTCGGTGGAAGGGTTTGCTGTGCTTGAAATCGTGAATTGGTAGCGTGATGATGTGTGCTAACAAGTGCAACGAGTCAAAGCTGTGGATGAAAGGAGAGAAAGAAGGGAGAAAGGTCTCTGATGACAGCTAGTCTCTGGCCAGGAGCAGGATGTGTGCTTGCTCTTGTGTAGAAAAGAATTTTTCAGTCCTTCATGGGTAATCAACTTTGTTGTTTTGAAGGAGAGGTGGTCACTGGGTCTGCATGCGGGCCGTTCTAGGGCAGGATAAGGGGTGATGGCCCTGATGCCCGGGATAGCTTCACAAAAGAGCGGGTCAACACTGCACAAACACGAGCTTGACTGAAGGAGCAAGCTCTATTGCTGAAGTTGTTTGTTTCTGAATTTTCTCTGCTTGAATTGCTGCCATTATGCCCTCCCTTGGTGGAAAAGGGGCATCCACCATGAGCATCATGCTTGCAACTGCAGCATCTCAAGCAGATCTGGATATCTATGTCGACGAAAAAGCAAGGTACGTATTCTCTGCTGCGATTAGAGACGATTACTGAGATAATGAAAGCTCCGCGATCGTCTCCTCCAGCGTCTTACCCGTCAGCCGGCGGAAGGCATCCTGATACCGCTCGCTCGTGGCCTGCGCGATATCATCGGGGATCGCAACGCCATCCTTTCCCTTCAGGCCCTCCTTGGTCAGCCAGTTGCGGATGAACTGCTTGTCGAAGCTCTCCTGGTCGTGGCCGACCTCGTACTTGTCCGCCGGCCACATGCGGGACGAGTCCGGCGTCAACACCTCGTCAATGAGCACGATCTCGTCCGTCGCCTCATCCAGGCCGAACTCGAACTTGGTGTCAGCAATAATGATGCCGCGCTCGGCGGCGTAGTCCCTCGCGGCGTTGTACACCTTCAAGGCGAGCTCCTCGATGCGGGGGGCGTACTTGTCGCCGACGATCTTGGCGGCCTCCTCGGGCGTGATGTTCTCGTCGTGCTGGCCCAGCTCGGCCTTTGTGCTGGGCGTGTAGATGGCCTGGGGGAAGGCCTGGCACTCCTTGAGGCCGGCGGGCATGGGCAGCTTGTGCACGGTGCCGGTCTTCTGGTACTCCTTCCAGGCGCTGCCGGTGATGTAGCCGCGCACGATGACCTCGATGGGGAAGACCTTGAACTTGCGGACCTGCATGCTGCGGTACCTGACGAGGGCCTTCTCGCCGGGGGTCAGGGCCTTGGGCACGTCCAGAGTGACCAGGTGCGTGCGCAGGCCGGGCACCCTCTCGCTGAGGACTGAGAACCAGTGGGCAGACATGAGGTTCAGAATGGCGCCCTTGCCGGGAATGCCATTCTTGAGGATGACATCGTAGGCCGAGGTGCGGTCCGAGGCGACAAAGAGCAGCGTGTTGGCGTCAATATCGAATAGGTCACGCACCTTGCCCGCGGCCACCTTGGGCAGGGTCGTCAGCTGCACACTCGTGACAGTGAGCGAAGTCATGTTTGGTAAGCGTCGCCGCGTGAGTGGATTGGATTACAGTGTTGACTAGAAGTAGAAGAGAAGAAGGATATCTTTCACTCAAAGACCCTGCATTAGCAAGTTATCTTACGACGTTGCGACAGACAGAGCCGCCGAATTAAGACTTTTGCGCCATTAGCAGATCTGGGGAAAAGTTTTGCGTAGAGTGGTGCGGTGCGATACCGGTAACGGAGATCGCGCCGGCTGTACCCGTCGCTCGCACCTGCCTGTGAGTCTCGGCTCTGTTCTCCTATTCCTGCCTTGCAAGATCGGTCAGAACAAGTGCTGATTGTCTCATTGTCTTCTCCATAGGAGTCATACTCGAGAGCGAGTTGCGAGTTCTTCTCTTCAGGTCTGGGGATGAAGTGTCGTCTACTACCCTAGGTATAGGGTCAAAGCTCGGATGCATTATGGCTCATTACCCCTCTCTACCATACACCGCTTGGGTCACTGTGAAGGGCGATAAAGATCCCAGTTCGCTCACCCCTGCATTATGGGATCAACAAGAAGATGCATATCGAATTGTTGATGCAATTTCACATGTTGGTTGTGATGTTCAAGGCAGAAGTGCATCCAAACTTGGCATGTAATCAACCTCATGCTTCGGATAGGCGGCAACAACAGGTCTACATTAGTGTTGGTTCCTGCGCTGACTCGGTCACAGGCGCATTGACAGACGGGAGAGCGGGACTACGCACCTGAGCCGTCCGTTGACGTGAGGCTGGGGACTGAAAGTGCATGATTCATTGCCTCCAAGACCTCCAAGACTTTGGAGCCTCTTAGTATCAAGAGACTCTTGGCCGCCAAGTTGATCCGGCTCAGAAGGATTGAAATATGGTTGGCAACCGAGAACCAGGAGTCTGGGTATATCGCCGCAGTTCAAATTGCGGAGCAAAACCTGGCCCGGCTTATCACCTGGTATATCGACCAGCGATCCGGCGTGGGTCCTCGGTGAACGAGCCGAAGTTAAAGTTGGATGTCATTCGAGCCTCTCTCTTTCAAGGTGAAGAGAATACTACCAGCGGATGACACGGCTTGTAAAGCAGAGACTACCTCGAGACTACCAACGGTCCCGCGACCGTTTAGCCAAGCGGCTCAGCCAGCATGCCAAGCTCAAGGCCATCGCTGGAGGCTTTTCGCGATCGGGGTTCTGGGGTGCACCACCTGCAGAATCCTCGCCAGCCGCAGTGGGACTTGGCTCACTGGGCCAGTCCCTAGACTCCTAGACAGAGGATCATCACGTCACAACCAATCGCTAGCAGCATCCTCGACAGCCTCTAGCAGGGTTGCGCAACACCGTCGACCCCCGTCGACCAGCGAATCCCCCACCAAATGAGGGGTGCAGGAGGCAAGCCGCGCAAGCACCAAGCCAACGCTACGGTGGGTGTGTGCTGTTCGCCCCCCTGGAAGCCTGCGAGCTGAATGCGCCGCTCAATGCGCCAACGGCAGATCGTCCATCCCACAATGTTATCTTAAATTTGGCGCACCGCCTCCGGTCGTGTCGTGCGGGAAGGATGGCTGCCTTCCGATCGTGGTGCTGCTGCGTGCTGTTGCTTCCTTTCTTCCTCCTACACTGACATTGAATAGTTGTAGCTGGTAGACATCGCTGTGGGCGGTGGATTGCGCGAGCCAGAGCCGACTTTGCAGGACAACCGAGCTGCCAAAGTTGATCGAGCAGCTGAAGAGCTGAAAAGCCTCGCCACAAAAAAAAGACCTGCGAAAATGAGGACAGTCGCTGCTGTGGCGGCGCTGCTTGCGCTGGCCGGCTCTGCCATTGCAGGAACTCTCAAAATCCCCGTTCACAAGCAAGGTCCCGGAAGTGCCGTGAGCAAGCATCCGCTTCTCACAAAGCGGGCGTCGGCGATCGAGGAGCTGGTCAACAATATCACAGGTGGCGGGTACTATGCCAGTGTATCGGTGGGAACGCCAGGACAGTCCATCAACTTGGTACTGGACACTGGCAGCAGCGACGCTTTTGTAGTAGATGTGAACGCCGATCTGTGTACAAGTCGGAGGTTGCAGGTTGAATATGGCATGACATGTGACGCTACGTGTAAGTCTCGCTGGCGCTTCTGAGCTCTGTCACAACAGCTAATCCGTTGCCTGTACAGTCGATTCTTCCGACAGCTCGACGTTCTCAGTTGTTCAGCAAAATGGCTTCTCAATAGAATATCTGGACGGTAGCACCGCCTCCGGGGACTTTGTTTCAGACAGCTTCGAGATCGCCGATGTGACGCTTGACGATTTCCAATTTGGCTTGGCCGACTCTACAGTGACCGGAACTGGTGTACTAGGCATTGGATTTGTCGCCGAGGAGGTGGCATTGACGACATACCCGAATCTACCACAAGCGCTTGTCGACGCGGGTGCCATCTCTGTTAATGCGTACAGCTTATACCTAAACGAATACGATTCCGACACGGGAAGCATTCTCTTTGGTGGAGTCGACACAGAGAAGTTTATCGGCGAGTTAACGGTGCTGCCGATACTTCAGGATGCCCGCGGGAGGAACTACTCGTCCTTCACGATCGGCCTTGCCGAGCTCGCCGCCGTCTTCAGCAACGGTACCGACCCGGCCAACATCACACTTCCCAGCGTGCTGCCAGCCATCCTGGACTCCGGCACCACCCTATCATACCTACCGGACGACGTCGCCACCCCTCTATTCGAGGCTGTCAACGCATATACCTATACCGAGGGCTCTCAGGGTCTGACCCTGATCGACTGCAAGTACCTCGACTCGGATGAGGAGCTCACCATGAACTTCGGTTTTGCCTCCTCGCTTACCTCCTCCAGCAGCGAGGTGACCATCTCCGTGCGCGCCGCCGAGCTCGTGCTGGATGTCTATCAAGGGTACCAGTCCCAGATGCCGTCCGAGATCCCCTTCGACGAGGTGTGCCTCTTCGGCCTGCAGAGCTCTGGTGTCGCGCTCCCCTCCGGCCAGGCGCAATCGATCGAGTTTGCCCTGCTCGGCGACACATTCCTTCGCAGCGCCTACGTCGTGTATCACCTCGAGAACCGCCAGATCGGCCTGGCACAGGCCAACCTGGGCAGCTCCGACAGCGATGTTCAGGAGCTGAGTGCGAGCGGTACATCGCTACCAGTGTTTACTGGCGTGGCCAGCCAGGCGTCTAACCCGACCGCCACGACAACCAGGAGTAGTGGTGGTAGCGGAAATGGAGGCGGGAGCAGCAGTACGAGCCAGTCCGGAATGGTCATCATCACTGTGACAGCGTCCCCGACGGCGTCGAACAACGCCGCTGTGGCGAGCACGAGGCCGCCGACGGGCGAGGCGTTCGCTGTCATGGCTGTGGTGGGCATATTCACCTTGTTTGGAGGTCTCTTGTTCGCTCTGTAATCGGTTCGGCATATAAGTAGTGCATTTACGCGGATATCATGCTTGTGATCTAGACATACACAAGTCGTTGTTAATATACCTACATGAGATCATCCTTTTCCCAACACGGTGATGGGGTTTCCTTGACTTGCGCAAATGTCTCAAGGTGCAACCTCGGGGTTTTCATACGTCGATAACTTCCGTATCCTAACCCAGCACTTCGGCGATGAAACTTATGGTTGCCTGATCAGATCTTGCCGCCAATAATGAGGTTCTGCTCTTCCGAAAGGCTAAATCATAGGTGTCTTATGCTCTGCAAAGCGTAAGAAGACTTTACGCTCTAGATCACCAAAAATGGTTACTGCCCGCTGTACGTATTGACATGCTAGCCATTTCTGTGATGATCCATATCCGTCAGGCCGTTTTGGTCGATATTCATGGGGTAACCATATAAGCTTCTGGCCGTTCCAGGTTATCCAGTTCTTTTGCTCATTTAAACCATAGTGCTGAGGTACGAACTCTCCAATACTATCCCCATCAATAGCGTTAGGACTGTACTCTGCTTCAGGGTGCGAAGTTTCTGCGAATATGTATTCCGTTTCAGGGGTTGGGAATCCATAAACGGGCTTGGGTATCGTTTCAAGCCTCCTCAACAAATGGCCTGTAACAAGAGAGTATACACTGGCCCGTCCAGGCTCGTACGTTAGGAACTGCTTTGAATTCTCTAAAAACTTCATCGAATGAATAACTGGCACCGAGCTTTGTAGTTTTAAGATTTTTTGGCCTGTCGCGATATCCCAGATAAAGACTCCCGAGAAGCTGATGAACATGAATGATGCAAACAACTCTAAATCGGCAGAGAATGCAGTTTTCGTCGATGGTTCATCGAGCAGTAGCATGGATTGCAATTGGCCAGTTGTAACATCCCAGAGTTTTGCGCCAGCACCAACATCAACATTGCTCGAGAGAGTAGATGTCGCGAGAACTCGCGAATCAGCCGACCAACTAACTGAAGTATGCCACTGTTCAGAGATGCTGCTGATGTCCACTCCTGTTCGAAAACTGTGAACCTTCTCACCTGTTACAATATTGTAAACCATAACGGTGTTCGACGATCTTATCGCTGCGTAATTTGCGTCATTAGAAATGACTGGAGGTGCAAACCAAGACTCATATGGGACATCGATTGATCTAAGCTTCCTGCTAGTCAAGACATCCCATATCTCAACCATGATCGATCGGTCGTAGTCTCTTGAAATGAGGAAGACGTCAGCATTTTTGGAAACACTGAAGAAGTCAATTTTGGGCTCCCTGACTCTGCGGGATGGGGAGCTTCCGGGCTCTTGGCCAGGTATGATGTCGCCGGGCGTGATATCTAGTATTCTTACGGAATGATCGTAAGAACCTAGTGCATGGAGTCGTGAGTCTGCTGAGAAGGTTGAGAGGCCAATGAGTCCAGAGGTATCCTGCGAATCGCTCAGCCCTTTCCAAGTATCCGATTCATTTATAGCGGCCATTCCAATAACACCCTTAGCTTCAGTGAGTTTCAAGATCTTCAATAAATTAGCACTCCAATGGAGTTCGCCTCTCTCGCCTCTCTCGCCTCCAGGGGTCCATATATCCTGGCTGTTTCGAAAAATCTCCGAGTCAATCGAGAAGGCGCGTCCCTCAGAGAAGAGCCAACTCTCTTCCAAGTCACTCAATAATAAGACAGAATCCACCAGCTCAAAGCTCGATGTCTGGCTCTCCCGCACTGGGGCAGATTTCCACGTCATCAAAATACCGAAATAGTCAACTGTCAGAATCCCGTTTCGATTGTCTGGCATCCTGGCAGACACCGCTGTGTGGCAGCGAATGTGCAATGTTGATATGATTTGACCGGTTTCAACATTCCAAAGCTCCAATACTCCCCGATCAGACCTTGTGAGCAAAGATGTCCCATCAGTGGTAAAATCTAAAGGTTTTAACCTGTTTTTTATCCTGAACGTGAAAGAATTCGTGCCCGTCCAATCTTCAAGCTTCTGTATTTTGCGATTTGTTATGATGCTGAGTATATCAATAGAGCCATCTATGTGATCGAAAGCAATCATGTCTAGATTATCCGAAAAAATGGCATCCATTACGCCGTCAGTATTTAGTTCCTGAATTTGGTCTCCTGTCGTGGTATCCCATATTATAATCGTTCCACCGACGTCTCTTGAAGCGAGGCGCTTTGAGTCATTCGAGAAGGCGACTTGTTTGATAGCCATTTTATGCCTCTCCAGCGTGTGTAGAACAGGGCTCCAGTGAGTGGCCAGCGGTGGACATAGCACAATCCATTCGGGCAACGCGTCGGCTAGGTAAAGCTTCCGAATTAGGCTTTCCTCGGGTGCAAAAATAATACCAGATATATAGACTTGTAGGGGGGCAAGGTCCAATGCCGTGCGGCAGTGTAGAACGAAGCGTTTCGCGTCAAGTAAAAAGGTTGAGAGTTCGAGATGTCTTTGTTGCTTGACTAACGTGAGTGGAGATCATCTAGGCTGCGTTTGGATGACTTACAAGTGCTGCTTCCTGCAATCCACCGATTATCTTGATGCCGTCAGTTATCCTGCCCATGAGGCCTAATGCTTCTATCCAGTGGAGAAAGTGGGAGTTGAGAAAGTCAGAGAGAATCTTCCAATCCTTGAGCGGTCGTCCACTTTTCTGTATATGGTAATCGAAGTAAAGACACGCATACTGGATTTCTGCTGGTAAAGAGTTGGAGATTGTCTCTTCGTCAATATCTTTTCGAGCCGTCCCAGGCATCTTTAAATTGCACATATCTTTCTTCAGAGACGTGCATAGCATGGAGAGGCATTGACTTGCTAATTGCTGGTGCGTTGTTCTCTCATCAACTTGAAATTTGCCTTGATTGTGGTCATTGAGAAGAAAGTCTCGGAAAGACAGATGGAATAGTTTGACCGGCATCTCAGGATTTGATGGAACATTAAGAACCGAGTGGAGAAGATCAAGCTCACTTTCGACCTCGTGTCTGGGGATCTCAAGGAGGCGTGATAAAGATAAGGTAGAAAGAGGTTGAGCGAGGAGAATGATAGACCCTATGATCTTCCGGAAACGTTGAATTCTGTCCTCTTTGAAAAGTTCATCTTCATCGACGAGTAACTGGTCAAGGACAGGGGCATAGGTCAGACCAATTTTCGACATTTGGCTGCGAGTTTGATATTCTAGAACAAGATTAAGCTTCGAGTCTGGGTGACGGCCTCTTTTTACGTCGGCAAGGAATCGAGAAATTGTCGATGCAAAGATGAAGAGCGGAACAGCCATCTCGACCAGTCTCTGTAGGTTGTCCTGACCGGGCCATTCTGAAGGGAGCCAGCGATCCCTGCTAACTACCTCGTTGTAGTCGCGTACAAAGTCTGAGAGTGCGGATTTCAGAAACACAGAAATGTCGTGCTCAATGATTTGCGAGTCTACCTCGTGCAGAATTATGTCGTCGTAATTTAGACGAATCCTGCTGAATGCGAGTCTAATATCAATCTCCGGTCTGCTTGTAACGAAAATCTTCACTCGAATAGGGTATATCTGCTGCTCAAGTAAGGGAAGCAGACCAATGATGGACGCAGCATCTTGTTCTGGATCGCATTCATCAAGAGCATCCGTCACAATTACCATCGTTGAGAAATCAGGGGAGTTATTGTCAGCAAAAGCTTGCTTCCAGGGTTGAACGATCAGTTCTTCGAATTGTACTCTTAAGAATGCATTGATGACGTCTGGTCTAGTCTCAATTGCTTTCTGTACATAGGGCGCCAGGAGAGGTACTTTCTGGATGAGTTGCGCGACTATTGTGCTACAGAAGCGCGTGGCGTTGCTCCGGTCGCCTGCGCCTCTCTTGAAAAAGAAGCTAGCTCCCAGAATGCCTTTCTTGGCCAGGCCATGTGCGACAGTACGAGAGATGGTAGACTTCCCCGTGCCTGCCTTGCCCATGAGCCAGAATATGTGCCGACCATCTGGACTGTCAACCCATTCATCTATCCTTTTGATAACATCGACTCGCGTCTCGGGATGACACATCGGCTCATGTTGGTTTGCGAGGTGATCATATGCAGCACCATCTGCAACAAGTAGTTTTGATAAACAGAACTCTTGGTGGATAGTCTGCGAGATTGTGCTAGACCATGTCAGTTTTAGCCTAGTAGAAACAGGACTATAATACATTTGCTCACGAACTGCTTGCTGAAGATCTTCAGTCAGTCCTTGGAGTTCCTTCAGTTCAGCCTGATGCTGCTTCCCTCGGAGCTTGTCACAATTTTCTGCCTCGCTAGCAAGACGGTGTCCGCTCTCTATGAGAGTTTCGATGTAGCTCTTTATATCGTCGAGTCGAAAAGGGGCACTGATTGCTTTGCTTCGACTGTTCTGGGATTGAATCGCGAATCCCAAGAACCTAAGCGAGTCGACATATGCTCGGATTATCGTTCTTTGTAGAGCATTCTGTTCTTGATCTGGCAACTGGGACCTAGAGTCGGGGCTTAGGTATAGACTCTGATACCTGGAACACTGTAAGATCAACCCAGTAACTCGGGCAAACCCTGCGACCAATTTACCTCTCAACTCGCTGCTAGCTGAAGAGAACTGTGGCGATTAGCGTGTGTCAAGTCTCCCCCTAAGAGCAATCAAAGGGCAACGTACTACAAGAACGGAGCGTAGGACAGCCCACGGAAGAGCGGCATGGACGGGATCGAAGCTCACGGCCACATCCCCGGCCGCGACAAATTTGTTAAGGATGGACACCGTCTTCTCGACAAATCGATGGGTAGTGCTGTTCTTCTGTTGACCCTTGATTCCTTGCTCTAACCGGTTTGTGATATCGCTTGCGATACTTTCTACGCTGCCACTCTTTCCATAATTTGGGCCCTGCAGAATCTTCATGATTGATTCTTCTGCGTTTCGGCCTTCTTCTGACTGCCGAAGCTCTTGGACGACTTTATCCCATAACCCCTCGTCACTTGCTGAGTCTGCGAGAAGTGTTTCGAGGCCTGACTTCTGTCTACTGTCTACGGTCTGCTCGCGGATTGCTGTAAGAGCTATTGACGAGGAAGAGGGCTCGGTAACGGAAAATTTACGGGCGTCATCTCCTGTTGCCCTTTGGGTTTGTGATGAATGACCCGGAGTCTCTGGTTGTTGCAATTCAACTCTCTCTGGGCCTTGTTAGCTTGTATCCTATCAAAGTTTTGCAATCAAGGTATCTAAGCGCACATACTTCGCGACACAATTATTGGCAAAGGAGTTTGCCCGAGGCCGGAGCGGACTCGAGGTATTCGTCCCAACTCTGGTGAGTTATTTGCGCTACGACCTTTGGGGAAGCGCTCCCACCACTTTTTTCGATTTGCCTCTTGAGACATGGCCTTGGTAGCGAGTTCTTGAGAGGTGAAAGGCTTCAGTCTTTAGAAATAGGAGGTGAAAAGGGACTTCTCTTGGTGGTTTGAGATGCGGTTGTCGTGAGGCTGAGGAGGGGTTTGCAGGTTACCGCGAAGGCACCAATGGCATAGCACCTTGAGAGAGCCTCGACATGAATCGGGATCCAATGAGGGCCAGCTCTTTTTTATACCATATCGAAACACGTGTCTACTCCTCTTCTAGGGTAATGAACGTTGATTTCCTTAGGGCAAGGCTACTTAATTATGAGAATTGTATTAAGTTCGAATGCTGAATGCCATGACGACGCTTGAGACTTTTGAAATGGCAAATTATGTGACCTCCTGATCATGAGCAACGATGTTGTGGCATTGTTTTACCACAATACAATGCCGAACCAATGCCAAATTCAAGAGCCACTTGTTTATCGCAAGTTGCCACGCCGCCGATAACCCTTCCGGGTGAGACGACGACGATTGTCCTTTCAATACTTTGTGAGTCTGTGAAGCTGACAGGAACTGTTTTGTTCAACAGGCTGGAGTGGAGCGCCAAACAGCCAGAGCGGCCTCCATATCCATATCTCCCGAAATGGAAAGTAACTTGGCTGGGGAAGCTGCTGCAAGGGTTGCAGGTGGTCACTGTACAGTGTACTCGCACAAACTTCCGAGACGCACGGCCCAACCGGGAGGGCCCGGGCTCCACGGTTGAGCTGTCTTAGCGCCAAAGTCAGCTTAGCTTAGCAAGCTTAGCTACCCCGCCAAAGCCTGGCATCAGTTCTTAGGCGCGCACAAGCTGAACTGCCATCAACAGTTACACTCTTCAAGTCGCACTGCCTCGCCAGGGCTACCAGGCCTGACGGCGAGCATATTCACACAGTCAGAAAGGTTGGGAATTAGTAAGTTTCATTTTTCTTCTGATGCAACAACCGCACAGGGGAGTTTGGGAGGATTTCACAAGGGTTTGTGAAAAAAAAGACCCTGGCTCTGGTGGCTGGGCGTATCCAACCCAACCACCAAATTCAGGCCCCACGCTCTCGCCGCCCAGCCTCGTCGTGATGCGCCGGCGTCAAAACGTCGCCAGTCATATTTCATCCATTAAGTCTCCCGTCATGCATCTTCTTCTGCATTGCATGACTGTACTAGTAATTGGTCAACCTCAACCTGTTCTTTGTCCAAGTGGACTCTCCTCTCCCTCTCGACGCTTCACCGTTGGACACGAAGCATGAACTTCCAGAACCTCAACTTCGACCATGTGGAGCGACCTCGTACGTGCAGTGAGATAGAACCAGACTCGTGTCGATCAGCTATTCTGACAGCAGCGCGATAGGTGTATATGCCGACCAGCCCAACTTCTACCCGCGAACTCCCTCAAACCATTCAGAACTCACCGTTCGGCCCTTTGCCGACCATCTAGGCGACCGCCACTCAGACCATGCTTCATCCCGCCCGGCATCACCATCACCACAGCCAACCGTTGTCCCGTACGCCCCGACGCCTCCTGACTCTTCTCCCTCCGCGCCCGAGATCTACGGGCCCGACCGGCTTTTTGGCCCTCCATTGGTCATAAGGAATGAGCTGCTTGAGGAGCTAAGATTCAAGCCCCAAATCACTCTCGACCAAATCAACCAGATCGCCTTCCAAACGCAGCACAACACCAACATGGCGAGCTCTGGCTTCAAAGACGAGCTGGCTCTGGCTGCCGGCAAGGTCACTCCCGGCATTGACGATACCCCCTTCATTCAGTATGCGCTGGATGCTCTCACTCGAGATCGGGACACTGGTTATTCAAACCCATCGTCCGGGAGCTCCTGGTCGAATCCCGTCTTACGCTACGTCCCTGACCAAGGACTTGGCTACTATCAACATCAACCTATAATACAACCTCCACACTCTAATCCAGTGGTCACCCGGGACCCTCAAGTGGAAGGATCTCCTCGACGGATACGCCCTCTTCCCGCATTCCAGTCACGGACACCATCTACCTCTTCAGTTTCCACCCTTGCACACGAGCCTACGAAGAAACCCGAATACTATGATTTTGCAGACGATGCCTGGAGGCCTGTCGATAGAGACAGGATCCAGGACGACAGGGCAAAGGTCAACCCCAAGCTCTATTTTCTACCACGAATTTTACGACCCGACTCGATGTTTACGCTAATGATATTATGCGCCCTCATGATTCTCGCACTGATATTCTGTGCTGTGTACTCCCAGGTCCAGGATGGGCTTTGGGCGTACAACGGCACCATATATGGCGGACAGTACTTTGTATTCCGCATTCTCCCGGGGCTTCTCGCCTCCATTATCCTCCTTTACGCCCAAAATCTCATGACGACACAGCTTCGTCTATGGCCGCTCATAACCCTTAACTCAAATCATCGTGGCAACAACAAGAACGCCCTGTTCATGGATCTGTACCTGAGATCGTTTCTCTGGCCACACAAGATAGGCAGCTGGAGCAAGTCGATGCCATTCATCGTCACTTGGCTAATGAACTTCACGCTACCCCTGCAGTCTTGTCTGTTCACGGTCATTCGAGTCGATGGCAAATGGAAGTGGGCAACGACTCAGGGAGTGGCATGGGTCCTAGTAGCGCTATATGGCCTTCTTTTCACGTCAACATTTATTCAGCGCAGAGTTTGGCGGAATCAAAGAACCGGCTTGGCATGGGATCCTCGGTCTATCGCTGATATGATTGCCCTCGTTTCACACAGCAATACTCTAGCTGATTACCGGGGTACTGAACTCTTGGGAAAGCGCGAGGACCTACAGAAGGTACTTAGAAATCGCAACGGTGATTCGCTAAGCTACTGGGGATGGCTCGACAACAGACCCGGTTTGTGGTACGGCATTGGAACTGCCCCAGAGAACTACCCCGGATATCGGGTTGATCGCTCGAGGACAGGACAGGGACTGAATGAGAAAGATGGTCAGTTCGGTGAGAAGATGGGCAATCCCTGGGACGAAGTCGACCTCGAAGGCGGTCCTCTTACCCCTTCCGTACGATATCGGTATCTGCCATGGTGCATGCGAACCAACCAGCTACTGTACTTCGTGGTTGCCGCATTCGTCCTGCTCGTTGCCCTCTTCGTTATCTCGTTCTTACCAGCTACACGGGTTACCCGCGGTTTCCTACCAGGACTGTCGGCTGCTCCAGTTGCTGGAGCATTCTCATCCGCAGATTTCCTGTACAGTTTCATCCCCTCTCTCCTGGGATTGATCATGTTCATGCTATTTCAGTCCCTCGACTTGAATTTACGCATCCTTCAGCCCTGGGCTGAGCTCGCGGAGCACAGTGACGGCGGCGCATTGCCGAAGCCGTCAATTCTGGCTGATTATGCGGCATGCTACCCTCTCCAAAGCACTTACCGAGCCGTGCAGAACCGCCATTGGAGACTCGCCGCCATATCCCTCTTATCTACCCTCTTTGTCCTGCTTCCAGTGCTAGCAGGCGGCATCTTCATGGCGCTCACCGCGCGCGACGGCGTGGTCCGCATGTTCCCCAACGTGCCGCTCTTCGGCTTCGTCCTCGCGCTGCTCGTGCTCTACTTCCTCGGGCTCGTGGCCATGCTCCCGGGGCGCCAGGCCTTCCGGCTGCCACACGCCGTGACCTGCCTGGCGGAGATCATCAGCTTCTGCTCCAACGAGGAGCTGGCGGCGGACGCGCGCTTCAAGGACATCCGCAACAAGACGAGCCTCGAGGGCAAGCTCGGCCTCGACAACCGCCCCGGCATGCAGTCGCGCTGGATGTTCGGCGTGCGCTCCGGCCGCGACGAGCGCCTCGGCATCCGCCCGGCCCACCGCTTCACCGAGCAGCCCGCCATCACGGGCACGCGCATGAGCAGGCGCGACAAGTACCGCCGCGAGCGGGTCAGTCCGCAGTTTGTGTTTCCCGCCCGCGCAGCGCAGACCGCCTAGTTGGAAGGCGGCATTGCTGCGCATCTGTGTCTTTCTACGAACCTTGATGTCATGTATCATGAGCATAGCAGTGGCGTTTTTTCGGTTTTGGATTTGCTGTTTTTTTGTTTGAGACGAGACCAAGGGCATATTTTGATCACGGCTTCTTTACGATTCTTCTGCATGATGCGACATCATACCTCATGGTCTCACGACTTCATGCCGCCATTTTTACGAACCAGATACCTTTTTGATGTTTTAGACTTCTTCTTCTTGAACAGTCCTCGACAGACGAGAGACAATAGGGGGCTTATTTGATCCTTTTTAGGGATGGAACTAGGGTAAGGGAACATATAGTCCGGGGTAAGGGAAGGGGGGTTTAAACACTAGGTCAGGTCGGATGGGAATCAGGATCGAGAATTTGTACCAAAGATCGGAAAGGCTGAAGATGGGATTCTTAAATAGCTGTACAATACAACAAAATTGCCATCCCAGAGGGCCGAAATGGTCCGATGGGTCTCAAAATCATGCCGACCTCTTCCGTCTCGCCACCCTCTCTCTGTGTCGACGATGTCTCAAGGCGGTTTGAGACTTGCGGTGGCCATAGGTGTTGTCGTTCGACCGGACGGCAGGCAAGCTGGGCTCGTGGCGTCTTCCTGTCCGGCCGGCAGTCGTGGCGAGCCGCGGCCAGCCCGAAACGACGCGCGCTGAGGATGAAGGACCGTGCTGAGGATCGAAATGTCGTATGTGGCTCGTCGCTTCTCAACACCTTGCGGCTCGTCGAAGGCGGGGAAGGGCCACGCTTCGCGGGAAAGGGAGAGTTACGGGCGGGACGTTGCAAGTGTGCGGCAGATGCCGCAGATGCCGCGGAAAGGACTATGGCATTGGTGTAACAAGCGTTGCGTGAATTGCTCTCAGTTCACCGCAAGCACGAGGACAAGGCAAGATGATGTGCGAGGATCAGTGGTTTGAACGATTGTCTTATGTGGGTATAATATTTATCGTGAGAAGCATTTACAAAAAAACTCAAAGAGTGAGCTGATGTAACGTGAATAATAGATACGATCCGAAAATGATCGTGTAAGTGAAGGTGAGAAACGCCGTCCCGGTTGTCATGATCATGAAGTCCCTTGGCCGTGAATAGTCATATCGTGCAGATGCCATTGTTCCCAAATCCCCTTCCCCTTCCCAGAAATGCAATTGACTCCTTTTCATGCCTAATGCCCATCCCAGTATCCACGTCTGACAGTGAATACACTTTTCCGCCTAGCGACTCTTGCGCCCCAGGACGCGGGTGAACACCTCGCTCTTCTGCTTCCTCAGGAGTTGCGGGCGCGGCCTGTCGCTCTCGCCACTGAGCTTCACGGAGTTGGTGTCAACCGCAACAGCGGGAGCACCGCACGTGGTATCGGCGCGCGCCCGGCGCAGCTGCTCCTTCGCAGTCTCGCTGCCTTTAGCCGTCTTGCGGCCTTCCGAATGGCTGCGCTTGTGATGGCCGTGGTGGCCTAGCGCAAGTCCGCGCACGAAGCGCTTCGCAAAGCTGTCCGACTCTGCGGAACCCTCCTCATCGCTGTCATCGTCAAAAAAAGAGGTGACGTTTGGCGGAGGGGGTGGAGGTGGGATGCGCTCAGGGCAAAGCGGCGCACTGGCAAATGTGGTGATGGTAAGAGGTGTAGTAGGCCTGTAGCAGTATCCAGATGCAGTAGTAGAGGAGGATGGTGGGCGGGTGCTGCTGGTTGGTGTCTCTGGTGATGGAAAGGTTGGGCTGCTCATGGGCTGAGAGGAGGCCGTAGACTCAGACCGGCTGCGGAAAGTGGCTAAAGATGGTCTGCGAGCGCGGGACTGTGGTCGTGAGCCTGCTGCGGAGACCTGATCCGCTGACGAGATTGGAGAAGTTGCGGTTACAGGTGATTGCGGTGGTGGTGATGGGAAGCAGAGCATTGGCGATACAGGGGCTGACACGCTGTTGGTCCAGTTTAGATACTCTAGAGTAATGGAGCCCTCAGAGGCGGGCACGTGAACATGCTTGGGCTTGGGACCCCGGCGGATAGATGAAATGGAGTGGCTAGCTTGAGTATGTGAGTGGATGTTGGTATGTGGCCGCTGCGCTGGTCGAGGTGCTGTGGTGTTGCCCTCCGGTCGTGTTGGTAGTGATGATATCCTTGGTGGCAGTACTGGCCGAGGTGGCGTAGGTAGTTGCTGAGGAAATAGAGAGTAGCTAGGCTTGTTGGCCAACTTCGGCTTCTCTGCCGATGGAAGTGGTGGTAGAGGCCAAGTTGGTGCGTGTCCCGAATCTGATCCTCTTCGGAAGGTTTGTGACTCTTCGTCTTCCTTTCCACTAGGTAGACGTCTAATCTGGGGGCTGGATCCTCTTCGTGCAGTTGGGTATGGTACACCAGCAGGGTACAGTCCTCGTCTTGCATCTCGGAGGTGTCTCCTTTGCTGTTTAGCTACATCGCCTTGCCAGAACGAATCCCATAGTTCGGCACCAGTAACATGGTACTCGTGGTCGTCCTCATTAGAAGCCTCCGAGCCCTGGTCGTCTACCATGCCCGGCACGGAGCAGTCCGAACCAAAGGAGACCCGGTCCTCCGTCCGCTCACATCGTGATTCCTGTCTTGACTCCTGTCGTGATGAGGGTTCTTTCCTGGGGTAGGAATAATTGGAGACTGGGTAGTATTTAGAGACCAACTTGAGGTCAACGAGTCCTCCTTGGCGCTCCATGGTGCTGGTGTGTGCTGTATAACACTGGGCTGCAGCTGTACGATGATGCAACACATGCAGGCGCAGATGTGTGTGTTCGATGGATCGAAGATTTCCCAGATCACAGAGAGGTTGGCGAGATCTCAAGTTTTCTTTCTGACGTCGCCAAATCCTTCCTGGGGGCTGCCCGGTCAGATTTGTCGTCAGGGGTGGTCGGTCAAGACAAGGTGTGGTAGGAAAGTCAATCCAATATATTATCGATTGGGGCGAGATCTCATCAAGGAGGGGACGATCATACAGGATATATGCACAGTCCACCAGGGGTCACCCCAACGCGCATCCAGAGGGCGAGTGTACACAAAGAGCAAGGGAAACCACAACACACGAGGGAGAGACATACAGGAGGAATGCCGGCGCAAGCTTATCCTTGGTTTGGTGTGTACGTCGGTGTGGGCCCTGCAGATCGGGTCTGTGGATGGGGGGAGAGAGATGTGGAGAGGGTCTCTGCAGGTCTCTACCCACTGCTCTTCCCATTGTGTGTGTACATCGTCTCATGATGTGTCTGTGTGTGTATGTGTATGTCTGTTGTGTAGAGAAGGCAGACCATACACAGAGAAGTCTCACGGGCGATGGAGCATCCTCTCGGAAGCCGGAATGGCGCCAGACCAGGCTCAGCAAGCTTGAGTTCAGAGAGACGGGATAGGCGGTTGTCGATTGCGCTTGTGCAACCCGATAGGTCACGGCTCCACAGATCTGACAAGGCAAGGAATCGTAGCAAGCATCACGCATAACCCCTGCGGACAGCATGGGAGACAGGGGGGCCAGAGGGAGGACAGACTCGACCGGCAGTTAGGCCGGGGGCAGGGCCACTCGCCTGCGAGGCTAGGGAAACAAGCAAGCAAAGGGGCTGGAATGGCCCAAGCAGATGCAGTAAGGGCAACAGAGAGAGGACTAGCGCCGATCCCAGGCTGGTGGGCTCGCTGCCAATGCCAAGTGACGTGTTGGCGGCCGAGGCGAGCAGCGCCATGTTTGGATCTGTGGTAAGAATGCGCCGGGGGGCGCGTTGTCTCATTCCTGCGCTGTTGTGTGGTCTGCTGGTGCAACACTTGTACAGCACCGCCTGTGTCCGTCGCCTCTGTTCCCCCCCATCTCTGCGTTCTTGGTAGGCTCTACTGCAGTTTTATGCAGTGTTACGGTGGTAGACAGGAGGCCAGACTACTCTGGCGCCGCTGACTTGCAAAGAAAATGTCTCTGTCAAGGCTCTTCTTCGGTCTTCTTGACCATTATAGAATCGGCTCAACGAGTCAAGTAAATCAAGCCAGCTGTCCAGGCTGTCAACCCTCCGAGGTTCTTCGGCTCCTTCGGCAGCTGCAAGTGACTCGTATACGAGCTTGTAATGGAGTTGCGTGGAAGGGAGCTACGCAGACGATCAATTCCATCCCTTCTCAGCTTTTGCTAGATGCTACAGCCAACGGAGCCTCCACAGCCTTCTCGCTGCACTTGGAGTGGGAGTTCATGACGTTTGAGCTTGGACAGCGATCTCGATACTGTCTGATAAACGCAGCCGAATGCCACCGACGACTGAGACAGTTGCACATCGCTGGCGAGCTCGAGTTGTCAGCGGCTGCTGGACCGCCTGCCATTGACGCAAGTATGTCCTGGAGCTGGTGCTACGAGTGGGCAGTGGGCGGCTCCCCTGCCCTCCCCGCGAATCGCGACAAGATAGTCCTAGCTAGCAGATGCAAAGCTCGATTGGCGGCCCTGGCTTAACGCCCTGGCTGGCGTTGTCGATCTCCCGGGTCAGAGATCTGCCCTCCTGCAGCGATAGGCATCCTGAGGCACCTCAGCCAGTCTCTCGTCAAGCCAAGCCGTGTTTAAAAAGGCGAGTAGCGGCCCTCTTTTCGAGCCTCCCTCGCGTCGGGTCCTTCCTTTGGGGCTTCTCCTCACGTCCCGATGCTCGCTCTTGGGAGTGTTTGGCTTCCCCCAGTCGCTGGTCTCCACTGTTGACCTTGCTTTTGCTGGCATCTGGATGACGACGCCGTAAAACCCACAAACCACCACAAAGACGTTGTGCGCGAGGTGCGGCGCTCGACTGACACTTGACTGACGGATTGAGGCGTCGGCGGTTTTGCTTTGGCTTGTTCTTTGTTCTCTGTTCTGGCGCTGGAGGGATGTTTACATCCGCTCGCTCGTGCCAGTCAAGCCACCAGTCGGCGCACCGGCGTCTTCAGTGGCCCCAGCGTGTCTCTGTTCCCCTCTTTCCCTTCTGCCTTGAAGGATTCGATGATGCCATTACGAGAGAATGTCTGAAGAACAGCTCCCTCAACCCAGCGCTACTGTTGTTAGCTTGCGGGCTGTGTCGATAATGCACAGCAAGGAATAGACTCGAGAGTGTAACTAGGCGAATGAGTGGGCAGAGTTCGCAGCAGGGAGAGGGAGAGGGAGAGCAAGGATGGCAGGTTCCAGATCCAAGGGAGAGAAGAAACTCGCATTAGCACGCACTCTTAGTGCTGTATCTGGCAACCCTAGTACCACGCTACCACCCCAAACGCTTGCCACAGCGTCTCTAGCACCAATTCCACGCCCTTGATCCCAGCAATCTGGAAGCATCGTCTCCCCTGCCATCGTCCCATATCCAGCCATTATCCTCTGCATCTTTGCATATGAGTGCGACTTCGTACTACTGTACTACGATCTATCACTTTTCTTCCACCTGAGATTGTAGATTTTCCGCTGCAGGTTCCAGCTGGAACATCCAGGTTCTCGGGGAGAAGCTTCTTAGGGCGTTAGGAAGATGACCAGGGCAGTCCAGGCCTGTGATAGTAACAGCCACGCATGCATGGACAGCTACGAACAGCGGCTATGGAAGCTGAAAACAAAGCGTCATCAGATCTCTTATCAGCAAGATGCAACGCTGCCAATGCAAGCTGTAAGGCCGTACTTACTATGTACTCCTCGAGTCATGTCCGTCATCGCCACCCGTATGGAATCTGTCCGACGCCGTCCGTCCCGGGATGCTACCGCAGCATACCCGGCGTCCCACCGTTACCCCACCGACCCGGTCTCATTCCAACGCGTCCCTCACCTCGGACGCTACGTACGGGGCCTGGCTCCTATTGTTGTATCATCCGCCGGAGACCGTCACTGTCACTGGCACCCTCGAGATCATCTGGTCACTCCGGCTGAATGCACGGCCGTAGGTCTGGTCCTTCCACGTCTTGTCTTTGCTGTGCCTCAGCTCTGCTCAACTGCTCCACCATGTCTTCCTCGTATTGTCGGTGGTGTGATATTTGAAGAATCTTCTCACAGACGCCGACCTTAGAGAGGCTGGGGGGTTGCCCACTCTGTTTGTCTGTCTTGTCTACCTACACATGCCCGTAGGAACGTTTCAGTCTGTCAGAATGTTTGTCCGCAATGTTGCGAGCTTGCTCATTGAACTGTCTTAGCACAGGAAGGCCTCTCGGCTTTCGCTCCAGCTAGATGGCGGCCAGCATGTTGCACTGATATTTCCATTGATAAACAAATTGGAGCTATTGGCCTGGCAGTGCTTCTAAATCATGTCCAATCTTTCACAAGTGGCCGCCTCATATCACTCACTGATGGGCAAGACATCTGCGATTAACCCTTCGATTCAAATTCAATATATAGCTTTTCTCCTTGATTCCACCTCACCTAATCCAAAGTCAAATGTCTGTCCGAATTCTCACTCCCATAACATGTCATTCTCCCATACAGGGTTACTGTTTAATTGCTCAGCGTTGTAGCCAAACACGCCTTCACGAGGATTCCGCAAGAGGTGAGAATCGGCGCAGTTCAGAGTTCTGATCCAATGGTGATCAGCGACGCCAGGGGAGCCAGGTATCCAGCACTGCGAGAGACTTTGGCGCCGTTCTGCTGAGATTGGTGAAGCTGTCACCAGAAGAGCGGCGGCCGGAGCGGCAGTCGAACCCCATTGAGAGCGAGATCGTAGACATTGTGGCGGAGTGCCCAGAGTCTGCGGGGCCTTCATAGTGACCTCGCGAGCAGAAGATGGACCGGCAGTAGTGACGACCCCATTGAAAGCGAGATCGTAGACCTTGTGGCGGAGTGTCAAGAGTCTGCGGGGCCTTCATAGTGACCTCGCGAGCAGAAGATGGACCGGCCGTAGTGACCACTTTGTGGCGGAGTGTCAAGAGTCTGCCGGGGCCTTCATAGTGCCCTTGCAAGCAGAAGATGGACCGGCCGTAGTGACCACCTTGTGGCAGAGTGTCAAGAGTCTGCGGGGCCTTCATAGTGACCTCGCAAGTAGAAGATGGACCGGCAGTAGTGACCGATCGAGAAGCCTTCGGGACGAACGAAGGGGGCAATGCCTTGGAGGAGAGGCGAAGACATCTCCGCCTGTGACACGTCCGACCTTGAAGGACGGTCCCATTCACCCAGATTCTTGCGGCCTCTTGATAACCTCTTGATGAAGTTCTCGTCCATCCAGGGCTCCAGTTCTCTCCGAGCGGCAATGTCGTCAACGTTGATGATAGGAAGATGACGCTTTCCACATCATCAACGTTGACGATATCACCGCTCGAAGGAGTTATTCGTAATCTGACAACAAGAAACTTTCCCGACGCAAGCCTGAAGCACAGACAAATCCTTCGTCTGGTTCCGCATGCGTTTCTGCTCAGATGTCGCAGCGTCGACTCGCCGCTCCCAGCAGAGCCTGTGTATGGCATCCACAGGCTCCAGCTCACCCTGCCAAAGCGTCTTGCACTACCTCACCGATCTCAGCAGAGCCTATGTATGCCATCCACAGGCTCCAGCTCACCCATCCAGAGGGTCTTGGCAGCCTCGCCGCCACCAAACTGTGCTGGGGGGCGTGTCATTGAGCGTGGCGGGTGTCTGCCAAATTCTGAAGCGCCAGCCGAATCAGGAGCTTTGGATTCGCTGCAATTCTGGTTGGTAGCAGACATTGACCACGCTTGACCTTGAATGCAACTCCAAATGTTGGAGGGAAGGTCTCTCCTCCCACCCATGTACAAACGTGCATGGGTGTTACTAGCTCTGCTAAGCAGAAGAAGAGCTACAGAGAAAGCAACTCTGTCTCGTGCAACCCCTGCGCGGCAGTCGAGGTTGAACACGATTATGGGATGGGTCTGTCTTCAGATTGAGACCGACATCGTCATCAGTTTTGTATTCATTGATCTGCGAGAGAGGAACAGAGGTCAGCATGCCTCCAGTATCACAGCATTTCCTGCTCTAATACATGGTATGGTATGATTGAGCAAGTGCGACCGAAATTCCGGCAACTGCCACAAGGCTAATGCCTTCCCAGACAAATCGACTCACCTTCCTTTCACAAGCAATGCAGGGCACACTCGTCGGTACAACTTGACATGCAACGCCACACATGACTGCCCAGATCTTCTAATATCTATCACTTGAACATAGTGATGCTAGAAGTCAAAAAAGTTGTTAGAAAGCGCTCAGGTCTGTCGAGGAGGGCATGTCTTACATCTGTGTGCTTGTGGTCTGAGAGCATTTGTGATCGCCTTGTATGGCGACAAGCAACACAGCTAGTATTGCAAAGAAAGGATGCTCAAAGTGCTGGATGTTATGCTGCAGTGTTTGATTGAGAGGAAATCGATATTGGATTTGTAACGGATGATGGAGGTGGATGATGGAGGTAAAGATGTGTAGGTTGAAAGAAAGGAGAAAGAAGACGCGCTCTGGCTAGGGGGGCGGAGGGTATTTATATTTTGCATAAACACGCTAGCGCTGTCATTCTGAGTTATTCACTTCTATTTACAGGTTCGAAACTATTCTGAGCGCTTCTAGGATATGTAACCCCTTATGTTTACTCACGTGAGAAGAAACCTATGGAAAGGGGTTAGGAGACTAGGTCGCTATTGTCTGACGTAGTTGCCCACAGGCAGCCAAGGCAACAGCACTTCATATGCGCTCTGCACTTCCTCGGAGGAAGTGGTGCCTTGAAATTTAAGGATAGGCTGCTATGTCTGAAATTGCACAGTCACTGCCCTTTGTCCGGCCTATGTTATTATAGCTATTTAACAAAGACTTTTGGCCATGGTCGATGTAAGCCTTTTCTATCTTAGACTGAAAAGAGGTGTTTGATACAATAACATTTGACAACTATTTTTTATAATGAAAGTCAATTGAATGCAATTCTGGTCTACAAAACTAATGGTATATATTCAAAAGTAATCAAAATCAAAGGATATCAGATCACAAGTAGTATCCTATGGGAGATAGTTCACAAATACGAGGCATCTTTTGGGTATGGTCAGGGGCATAGACTAATATTTCGTAGTCGTTCTAATCTAAGCGTCGAGCTTAAGACGGTCAAGCATTACATCGATCTTCCTCAGAAGGATTTGATAGTTGAGGGCATCTGATGCAAATTCATCTTCAACCACCTCTCCTTCAAGGGTCTTCACACCACCGTCCTCAAACACAATGGGTTGCAGTTGAGCCACAGGCGTAAGCACTGTGCCATCTCCTGTAGCATTTCCGTTTTGGGGCTCGGCTTGACCGTCCCTTGCAGCAAGCTCCTCCACAACGGCAGTGTTGATCTCCCCATTCTCATCCAACATCTCATCAAGACCTGCATCCTCGAAACGGAGTCGGAAGCGCTCTGACAGGTAGTATCGTATATCGTCCAACAACTCGATCGTATCGGTTTCCTCTCTTGTCTTTAGCCTGGAGGCACTCTCCTGGATCAGGTCGGCAAATTCGGGTTCATCGATATAATCCTCTAGCCGATAAGCTAGGTATCTTGCGGCAAATTCTTCCAGCCGCTGTACCTTCAGGTCCCAGGCCGCGTGAATAACATCGTAGATATTGATGGGTTCCATCTCGACAACCTCTCCATCGCCATTCTCAGCAATATTATGTGTTCGATCAATCAGAACATTGTTGCTTGCACTGCCCAGTGTGCTAATGGCAACCGCTGCCTTTGCTTTGAGCTTGTCCAAGAACAGCATGTCCGCAGTGTAGAGAACATCCAAAGCCAAGTCAAGTGGGCAGTCGGCTTTCTCGGTGTACAGAAATGTCAATATGATCTCGAGAACCTCTGGTATACAGTCAAGCTTCACGACGTGAAGGTGCTCTGACTTTTGCGCCTCCAAGAATTCACTAGAGAACATGGTTTCGAAATACGGACTCCGTATGAGCATTGCTCTGTGGACGGGATACAGAACCGACCGTTTTGGTTTCCGAGCTCCGTTGACCTGTTGAGATCCAGCGCCAGGTCCGATTGGGATGCCATTAATTCCGATATTTGCGAATTCTTCCACAAGCTCCTCCTCATCTTCGACCTCATCTGCCCGGAGGAGACAATCGGCAAAGATGGAGTTGTCGTGTATCCACTTAACCTCATGAGCCTTGCGCGTATCAACTACCATTTTGTGAGCTAGGACATGCTCCCGGAAGAAACGCTCAACTTGTGATTGCGCCCTTTCGACCTCATCCTGATACCTTTGCCGAGCTAGTCGACGGTCATTAGCGGAAAGGACGGCTTCCCAGAGCTTCTCAACCTCGAGGTGCTTGCTGATCTTATCAATTCCCTTAAAAACTTCTTCCTCGGAGGTTGGACTTCGCGGATCTACCAAATCCCTCGGCAGTTCGCCGAGGTACACATACTGCAGCACGACACGGAAGGCCTCGATAGGTACTGTATGTGACAACCGCCATACTGAGGTCTCAGGAGCATCTGCCAGCTTCTCGCGAAAGTATGGTGTCCTGGAGGATAGGAGAAACTTGTGTAGGTGGAAGGATTCCGAGCCGGCAATCAACTCGATATCTGAGGTCTTGGGTATTTGACGAGAGTACAGGGCCGTGATATGAGATGACCACGGCTGCAGGGGGTCTGTAGATTTAGAGTAGTCATATGACAGCAACAGATTCCGTATCCTGTCATTGAGTGCGTTGTAAACCGCTCTCTCGCCCTGAAATGTGCTCCGTTCAGCTAAAGCACCTATGATTGAATCAACACATGGATTTAATAGATCCTGATAGATAGGACCTACCAGATTCTAGTAGTAATTGAACTAGTTCAAAATGACCGCAAAGGCTGGCCTAAATATCATTCATAAGCACGTGGAGTTCTTAGGGGGAGAGGGGGGTCTATGAGGGGATTGGAAACACTCTGCCCCGCTTCCACATGATGCACTTACAACAATCAAAGGTGTGTAATCGTAGGGGTCTTTTCCGTTAATGTTGACTCCATTTGATATCAGTTCTTGGCATGTCTTTAGGTCACCCCGCCGGCAAGCTTCTAAGAAGCTACCAAATTCAGCAGTCAGGTCAAGAGGATTCTCATCTCGAAGGATACCACTTTCGATGAGCATGTGCTCGTCCTTCAACTTTGCTTCGAGCTCGTCTTTGCGCAAAACCATGATGGTAAGGAAAAACTATGCAATCCAAGTCTATATCAAGAAATCTTCTGTCTAGTGTATTCCATGCTTGAAGAAAGGGAAAACTGAAGAGCCTAGCCGCTTCGGACTTTAGGATACGGCCCCGGTTGTGGTGGCGTTGGAGAGAGTGTTGATAGTGCACGGGCCAATTGATGACAGATGAGATTCCCCGGTGCAGGCGCTGCAAGGATATCTTTTTTGTTTGCGTCATTCCCTGAGCGTTATCGATAAGGGATAATTATTCCTCCACAACCGCCCACCAATCCTGAAAGCGGGACCCCTGCCCCAGGTACCAGGCGTTGCTACAGCAGCAAGGCCGATTGTTTATTCTGAGCTGTCTTTCGACACTAAGATCGCCGCCATACCATTATGCATTAACTTCGCTGTACTGCTCTGCACGACACAACTCGACAACCATCAACAATCACGCAGCAGTACTAACAACAGCAGGTAAACACAGCTTCGATCCCGATCTTCTCGGTAGCTTATGGATCACGGTGGCTTCATTTGACTGAGGTTTTCGGCATTTTGATTTCCAAGATGTCGGAAAGCGATAAGTATGATGTGCTCGAGAAGATCGGTAAGTCATTGTGTACCCTTTCATCAATCACTAGCAGTTTTCTATGATCCTGACAAAGGCTGTCAACACAGGCCATGGCTCCTTTGGAGTCATCCGAAAGGTGCGCAGAAAGGTGGATGGCATGATTCTCTGCCGCAAGGAGATAAGCTACCTGAAGATGTCGCAAAAGGAGAGAGAGCAGCTGCATGCCGAGTTCCAGATCCTATCCACACTCCGCCATCCCAATATTGTGGGCTACTACCACCGAGAGCATCTCAAGGCAACACAAGACCTTCACCTCTACATGGAATACTGCGGCAATGGAGACCTGGGGCGCGTCATTCGCGACCTGCAGCAGAAGAACCAGTATGCTGAAGAGCCATTCGTCTGGAGTATTTTCGCCCAGCTCGTTACTGCACTTTTCCGTTGCCATTACGGTGTTGATCCGCCAGAGGTAGGGAAACATGTGCTGGGTCTGGGAGCTACGGCGAAACCGAAGGCCCCTACTGGAGGCATGGTCATCCTGCACCGAGATCTGAAGCCGGAGAATGGTAAGTTCAAAGACTAAATTACTGTAGAATATTCTAACCCAAAACAGTCTTCCTTGGCGCAGACAACTCGGTCAAGCTCGGTGATTTCGGTCTCTCCAAGATGATTCAATCCCATGACTTTGCATCAACTTATGTGGGAACTCCCTTCTATATGTCACCAGAGATCTGTGCCGCAGAGAAATACACTCTGAAATCCGACATATGGTCTTTGGGCTGTATTATCTACGAGCTCTGCACGCGAGAACCCCCCTTCAACGCCAAGTCACACTTCCAGCTGGTTCAGAAGATCAAGGAGGGCAAGATCGCCCCCTTGCCTTCCGTTTACTCAGCAGAGCTTACAGCAGTAATCAAAGACTGCCTGAGGGTCAATCCGGATCGACGGCCTGACACGGCCGCTCTCCTTAATCTCCCTGTGGTCCGATTGATGCGCAAGGAGAAAGAGGTAGTTGATATGAGTAGGGTACTGAAGACTAAAGAGGAAGCTCTCGAGAAGCGGATTCGAGAACTGGATCAAAAGATCAGCTCCGTGGATGCTGATAAAGCCTACATACGTCAGGAGATTGATTCTTCATTACGTCGCGAGTGGGAGGTCAAAGCACGTCTAGAAATCGATCGACTAGTCAACACAGAGATTGAACAGCTGAAGAAGAAATTCGACCAGGAAGTTCAAGCACGCGTTGAGCTAGAACTCCAACAGCAAAAGAAGACAGTCACTTTCAACGAGGAGGAGCTCGAGCCTCAGGATTTCTCATCATCAGTCACAAAGTCTGACTACCCCTTTTCCTCAATCGGTGCCGGCAGCGCCGATGGAGAATTCCCCTCTACAACAGACATCACTGAACTATCAGTTGACTCACCAGACACTTCTGCTCACGAAGTGAAGAAGCCCACCCGTACCCCCTTCGGCCGAGCCCAGACCATGTTTGCAGGCACCCCAATGGATATTGAGATGGCATCACCGTCTCCAATTGCCATTGCATCGCTGTCTCTATCTCCTAGACGGACAGCAGCCACTAAAGCTCCTAATGCTCACCAGCCAAATATCTTCACTATGCCCGGCGCAGTTGCTGGAGATCCGCGCTGGGAGGCTACACGCGACGGGCCGGGACTTGGATCTGATTCAGATTCAGAAGACGAAGTGGTCATTCCTTCACCCACGAGAATGATCAAGTCTAGCAAGAACCCATTTTCGTCAAAAACGCGACCTCAATTGTCGCATATGAAGACCGCTCCTGTCAACCGATTGAAGTCGCAACCTTCACTACCCGCACCCTCCAAAACTACCGGCGCAATCCCGACTATCGGCTCGAGCCAAGATCTTCGTCAGGAACGAAGCAATGGTGCTCTGCGAGAACGGTGCACCTCCCCCAACCGCCGATTGTCTAAGATCCCTTCGGCCGCCAGTCTCGCACCAAACGGCGCAGTGGACACCACACCGCAGGGTCTGACGCGTAAGCCCTCATTCACCAAGAAGGACTTTGAGCCACCATCCTCGGGTCTGGTGAGCAAGGCCGCGCCCAAAAACAACATCAAAGGCCGCACGCTTGTGGAGCTTCAGCAGGCCCGTGCCGGTGGTCGACCTCTAAGTGCCGTCATGGGAGCTGAGAACAATGTTAGCCCCAAGCGTGCCTTCAAGGAGCACGTTGTTGCCACTCACCGTGGAGCTGCATCTGAGCCTGCTGCCATCTGGGATCCGGAGCATGACGAGATGCCCAGCCCCTTCCTTGTGCGAAGAAAGCCAATCGCTCGGGTATAGATCACAAGCCACCAGCACCATGGCTTTCTGCTTTAGTTACTTTGATTGCATCACGAAGCTTTGTTCAAGAGACGAGATACCACACATAAATCACAAACGCAACTACATCTGGATGGGCTTGTACTGCCCCCTAATTTTTCTTTTGTCACAGAGAGATGGATGATGACATGGACCGGATGGAAGGATGGATGGATGTGCCCAGAAGAATTGACTGACACGCTTGTTACGGACGATGACATCGTACCGCAAAGCAAACCACAACACTGCTTTCTTTATTCGGTGGACAAGCAGTAATTGCACAACAACTGCTGTCTCGCCACACTTTGACCGGCTCGTGAAGCCTCGGAAGAAAGATTGGCTGGCGAACTCTGGAGGGACGAGGCGTCTAGGCTCTTCATCAGGGGTGTTACTCTCGGCTTGTTTTCTGGTTTGAGCATGTGCTTGTGAGACCATTTACACATGGCGTTGGGAAAAAACGAATTCCTGGATGTTGACTTGTTGATTGTTTGGCGTACATGTATATTTTTTGCCTCAGACTCTGTACACTAGTTTCCTCTAGGTCAGGGTAGCAAAGGGAAAAGGAACGCATCTAAAGAACGTGTTTAAAATGATGGTGTCTCTTCATGAGCGCCTCAATGATGCTGTGGTTGTTTCTAGCGTTTCTGGAACCACAAACAAAACGTGTCCAACGACGACGCGGCTTTGGCCGGTGGTGGGTTCGTGACGCCTCCACACACACACTCGCTTTCACATTCGCAGCCTCGTCTGTAGGGTGACGTAGTAATCTAAGACATCAACGGCGCTCTAAAGGGGAACCCGCACTGTCGATCACTTTGCTCGCACGCCGCTAAGCAAGCAAGGAAGCGACACCAGCTTCCACTCCTATCTCGATCGCACCTCAGTGTCATTTGCACCAACCTCCCTCATGGGGTTCACTCCGTCGGCCGCGCCCTTTTTCATCACACCAATTACCGTTGTCAGAATCCGCAATCGGGGCCGCTCCGGCGCCCACAAAGTTTGCCTCTCGCCCTAGCTTCGCGGGCTAGGGAGCGCCTCATAACCCTTCGTACAGCTCGTGTACTTACCCGACGTGACATCGTCACCGGCGCCGTCTGGACTTTGTCATTACGCGAGGGAGAAATTCCGTCTCCAAAGCATCGACGTCACGGTCGCTTAAAGCTTCCCGGGCGAAGTAGGCCGCGAGCACGAGCGGGTCTTCGGGCGTTGCTTCTCGCTTGAACTCTCGCCCTCCGAGTGACGGAGCCGATGGATCTATCCACCGCTCCCTTGTGAACCGGCCTTTTGCCTGCGGCAACCGCTAGGTACTCCGTCGGCCATGCAGGGGAGATGCGAAGGAGATCATCTGGAACATGAGGAACCCTTGTTTTCCGCGCTCTGGCTGTTAGACAGGGCGCCACCACCACCACACTTCCCTGGCGGCCATGAGCGAGGCGTGCGATACCTCGTGGGAGAGACGGGTTCCCGAGCCACGATGGCCGCGATGGCCCGGCTTCGTGCTGTTCCGTGCCACCAAATGCCACGAGGTGCGGGAAGCCCAGCTGGCGTAGGAGATCGCGGGATAGCGGCCAGGGTCCAGAAGGCGTGCAGACCAACGGCAGACGGCGACGTCGGCCACCACCACTACCGCCAGCTACTCAGCCCGCACAATAACTAACGCAGCAACCACCTTCGTGCAAAAGGTGCCATCGCGCGCGTGGGCGTGTGACGGCATTTGCAGCAGTGGCTGAACGCCGTAGCCCCTTTTCCTGAACTCTTGCACATGTCCAGGCTAAGGCAAAACAGAACGAGGCGCCGCCGCTGGGCCAAGGAAGGTGGGTGAGGGGCAGGCCGGCTGGCTATTTTACCTCGTGCTCGAGCAGAAGAAAAACGCGCCAGACACCGACCGGTGAAGGACTAGAATCCAAAGGTCAAGGGACTAGGTAAGCGTGAGAAAAAGAAAGCAGGAGCATAGAGAGACAAAACCGATGGCCCGAAAGGGATAGGATAGAATGACAGCTCGGGAAACGCCCCCCTCAGCTCCCTAGATTCACCTACGGCTACGGGCCGTTTAGAGTGCTTGGTCCTCTCCCAGTACCGTGCGAGTGTTGCTTGCTTTTTCTTTCCTTCTTTTGCGATTCTGTGGCTCTGTGGCGCTTTTATGCTTGTTAGGTTCGAGAAACGACCATCTCCACCGACTGAGCCTAGAGGGCGAGTCGAGGCGAAAAGCTAGGACCGACCGAAAGGCATCTGGAACCGAGTGCTGGCGGTTTCCCATCCGCAAGGCCTTCCTACTTGGTGCGCGAGAAAAGCAAATCCAGAGGGAGACAAAGTGACAAGACACGGCTCGTAGGGCGCCTAGACGCAGCCACAACAAGCTGGCTTTGCGCTCCGTTGCTATCTCAACGACACAGAATGCTGAACGTGGCAGGTTGCGGCACATTGAGGTGAAGACAAGTCTCAAAACTCACAAAGCGATCTAGCATTGGATCTGTGACATGCTTCACACAAGTTCTAGTTCCGTTCATTAGCCACATGAGGCGTTGAGAAAACGGACGCAGCCACTGAAGTCAGGGCTGAGAGAGGGTGCTTCTCCGGGTACGGCACGTTGCTCAAAGACCTAGCTCTTTGTCAGCCCTTCGTAAGGACCAACACGTTCTTCCTTTTCACGTTGCTTTTGCTTCCCAGTCTGAGGCCAGAGTTATCATCCTGCAAAGTTGCGATTAAAAAGAAATCATATATGACATCTGGCAACGATTCAGTCCACGGCTGGGCCACCAAAAACCAAGCATCACCAGTATAAGCGGCTATAATCATCTCTCAAGCTATCTTCGAGAGGGCCATGAGTTACGGCGTAGCTTACCACCCCTTCACCCTTCCGGCAGGTGCAAGGGTGCCGGAGAGGATCGCCGACAGCCACCCTTGCATCGCTTCCCAGTGTTGTGGTGGTGGTGTGGAGGGAGGTGTGGCAGTTGGAATGGGAACACCCCCATGGACATCGGTTTGGGGACCATTTACCGGAATCTCATCTTCAGGACATAACATTTGTACCTGTAAACTCAGAGTCATCCGAGTGATCTACAGTCTTGAAGCGTACTCAAGTTGTCGCTCTTGAACCGCCAAGAGCATTTTTACTCTCATCACTTGATCTCGTGTGTTTTGCTTAGCTCGTACCAAGTCCTCGACTACATGAGCAATGGACCCATGGAATGAAATCCGCTCAAATCACCTGCAGAGATGCCTGGTTTGTGGATGAAAACTGCAGGTCTAGCCGATCTTCTTGGAAAGGGATCCAATAGCTGGATCGTTTCCCTGGTACACCACAACTGCATTGTGTAGGTTGGCGGGTCTAAATAGTGTGTACGAGCCTGTACAAGCTCTGGACTTGTGACTTTAGAGAAGAGTGGACTGCCTTCAGAGGTTCATGGTGGGAGGGTTCACATCTTCCGGGTTGGCAAACTGTGATAGAAAGAAACAACAGACCGACGATCACATCTGAAGTCACTGATACGCAGACGCCGGACTTTTGTCGTACCTGCAATTGCTTGAAAGCTCTGTGATCTCAGCATCCCAGAATGATTTGATTCGTCATTATGGATCCTGTAATTGTGTGTTCCAGGTAGCATACTTTTTGGAAGCCTCTCAAGTGCTAAAATGGCGATGTGCCATCGGCTGTGATGGAGTAGTTGCCGCCTCCTTGCCTCTGGCAGTGGCACACAATCTTTGTGAGCCCCAGTGGAAACAAATGGAAGTTATTACATTTGGAAGACCTTCTCATTGTGGCTTTCATCCAAGCGAGCCCGAACCCGGCTGCTTTAACTTCCAAGTCATAGTCTTGATAGTTCTCCCTGTGCCGTCTTCCGAACTGGCTCTTTTCTACAACACATAGATACCAAAAGGCTTCAAAGAAGTGGACTTTTGCTGGCAAAGGAGTGTTACCGATAGAAGTGCTAGAGCTTATTCGCGCTCATCCGTTGGACTGCCATTGCTCGTCTGACAGGGTTAAGCCATGTACGCCCAGTCCCATACACCGGACAGCCCTCGCCATATTTGACTACGACAGTTTTCGTCTAGGTCAGACGCGCCAGCAAAACCATTTATCCACTCCTCCATCATTGGAAAGAGCTGCCGTTGACCTCAACTCATGTGGAAGCTCGCATACTCCGAGGATGGGAATGCTGATGTGTCACTCCGGATGAGACCTGCAGTGCTCACGACAGGCAAGAATTCCAAGCCAATACTGATCAAGGTTACTTGCATCAGTACGCCAATAGTGATCTTTGGGCGGCTGGCGAAGTTGCAAAATTGGAGGGGAAACACAACGAGATTAGGGTATAATAAACGTGATATAGGTGCGTACCCAGCAGGGAAGAATCTCAAAAGGGGCCACATAGCGATCAAATCGACCAAGCAACGCCAGCGTGGCTTTTTGCTTCGCCGTGGTCTAACGGCTTTCTATCCTTGAGGTGCCCATTCTGGAATGTAGCCTGGTTCAGTTGACATGGGCTTGATGCCTTCCTGACTTCAGGGTTCATCTCGACAACTTGAGCCAAGATGACATCACGCCTTGGATCGACTACCGTACCCAGTCAACATGACCAGTATCTTAATTCAAGCAAGTAGACTCGGCCGGCACCTATGGAATGCATGTGACTGTGACTGCGTGCAGCAATCTTGATGGGGAAAGGGGAGGACGAGAGAATGATCCGCTGGCGCGGTACTGCTGGAAGGAAAACCCGGAGGTAACGATGGTAACCGAGCCTAGTATGGGGTTGCACCGCAGCGTCTTAATACTGTCTTGCATGCATGGAGGGCTGCAAGACGACAGAATTTCTGCGTAGGTCAGGAGCCCCGATAGCCTCCAGCAAGGCTCGCAGAGGATCTTTCCCAAAAGACCAAGTCCTAAGCACTGATGTCTTTGCGGTAGGAATTTTGGCATTCTCCACCAGACAGGTCACATATGACGAGATCGAGACGTCCTCTTGGGCATTTTGTAGGCGTTG